TCTATACATCATTGTATGATAACGTCAGGAGTTCTATACATCATTCAATAGTTACCTCTAGCTCTATATATCCAAGCTGCACCAAATTTGCTGAAAAAAACAAAATCATTATTTTTATAAGCTATAGTTTTTACATGCTGTAGGCTATTAAGGACAACAGATATTTATACTTGTATATACTATATTACAGGAAACTTTCTGTGTATTCTCCCCCACAGCAATATTATTGTACAGTTGTGGGATCGCACAACGTTACACGATGTGCGGTGTGCGCACGATGTGTGCACGGTGTGTGAACGGTGTGTGCACGATGGGCGAACGATAAAAAGCTGAACGATCATTCCTTGCGCCCATATGTGCGCACGATGGGCGGACGTTGTGCGATAACAATCGTGGTTGGTGTAAATTGAGGAACGCCTTAACAATTTATACGGTTTCTTGTTAAACATATAAACTTGATGTTTACGTATGTTTCTATATTCTAGCAACATCTATAAACTTATCTTTCTGTCTATAAATTCTTATATTTAGGAATTGTGTTTTCTGTGTTGTTAAACAAACTTAATCGACACATGTAAAATTACAACACAACCCCGTATACAGGTAAACATAACCATTGTGTACATGTACCTGGACCGTAGTTTTCTCCCCGCCTGGGGCATTTACGTAACTCGTCGGGTAAGGCAGGGTGTGTGAAAATCCAGGTGAAGGGGAGCTATATATAGGTAAACGAATGCAAATAACAAATCCTTTTTATTACGGTCAAACGGTATCGCATATCAGCTCTGTGTGTCAGGCACTGGTCAGGTAAAACTCCGGACACTCATAAAATTGTTATTTACCTGTTCTGTTACCTTGGAGCCAAACCCATTCTTGACAGCCTAACGGTCACTGTAATACTGTGTAATACGCATTCTGAAATTGTATAATCTTGATTATTGGGATGAGAAATTACAGATATATACACAGTGTATATTATCGCATACAAGCCTTCCGTATTTTTGTCAATCCGTAATTTTGATCTACAAACGATACCAAATCGCACAGTTGTGCGGAGAGAAGCGCACAACGGGGCGAACGATTGCTAAATCGCACAGTTGGGCGCACCATGTGTGGACGATGTGCGGACGGTGTGTGAACGATGTATGCACGGTGTGCGCACGCCATTTTTGGTGCGTTGTGCGGTCCCACAACTGTAGTTGTCGAGGCGCAAACCAGCCAGAAAATTATTGTAATAATGAAATAAATATAGTATATACAATGTACTTAAAACAGTGAAAGAAAGCATACCCAGGTATGTTTCATATTATACAGAACATGTATGAAACGTCAGTTGTAACATGTCTATGTGTAAATGAAAAAAGAGCTTTTCAATCAGATAAAGTAATTTTATAAACCGTACTCAAACAATGCTTGTGTATATTGATACTTCGTCACTATATCACAGTGTATCGAATATGATTTTATGACACATTTAGAACAGTTGCTCTATTTTCAACCCAGGCTATACCACATCATTTAACTTGACATTCAAATGTCCCTTTTTTATAAACTTTCATTACTTCACACTAAAACAAGTTTATCAATTTTGCCTATATTACAAACAGTGAGTACAAATTACACGGTAATTTAACATACAGGTAAAGTTTGTGTTCTACAACATGTGAACTTTGTTTTACAAATTACATTGTATTTACATTTTAAGTTTATGTACTTCTTTTATTTATATGTAGTTTGCGTATTACATTTGTATCTATATGTTAAAAAAAAATGTTTTTATATTACCAAGAAGACAGAGAGCATAGTTTCCCTCTAGTGAGTTGAAGATGATCCTAGTGCTCTGTTCGTTGGTCAAAAGATCCAGTGACCGTTTGAATATTCTGTGAGTGACCATCTGGGTAAGGCACTGTGGGTGAAAGAGGTACAAATCAAAAGAATACACAGTGACTTACTTACTACATAAACTAGCTGGAGTCACCAGAGCACTCGTGTAGTTTTATTTGGTGTTGCCGTACATTTCTATATCTGTTTTATGAGGAGGTTCATTTATGACACTTCAACTTCAGCTGCTATTTGCAGTGTAAGAATACATAGTTTGAGCACTACTGCTATGATTGCAAGACTACACCATCGAAAAATAGTTCTAAAAAAAATATTATTTAAGATATTTCACGCCGGCACTTTATAATCGTCGCTCATTTAATATGATTACCAGGTATTCCTTTCATTTTAACTATTATTTATTTTCTTAAAATTAAAAACAAATGAATATGAAAGCGTTTTTTCATTGTTTGACTTTTTGTGGTAAACAGCTTGTGATGTCAGCGGCCCATTCAGTTTTTGACACATGTTTCAGTGATACCAATAAGTCTGCAACTTCTATGCAGTATATACATAAACTAAACCAAATGGTCCCTATCAGTCATATCAGTAGCAGGCACTGACAGATTCTGTGTATAAATATTTACTGAGATGGCCCCTGTCTACTTACAACAGGAGACATGTTGGACATGTGACACACAGTAGCAGGCACTGACAGATTCTGTGTATAAATATTTACTGAGATGGCCCCTGTCTACTTACAACAGGAGACATAGTGGACATGTGACACACAATAGCAGACACTGACAGATTCTGTGTATAAATATTTACTGAGATGGCCCCTGTCTACTTACAACAGGAGACATGTTGGACATGTGACACACAATAGCAGGCACTGACAGATTCTGTATATAAATATTTACTGAGATGGCCCCTGTCTACTTACAACAGGAGACATGTTGGACATGTGACACACAATAGCAGGCACTGACAGATTCTGTATATAAATATTTACTGAGATGGCCCCTGTCTACTTACAACAGGAGACATGTTGGACATGTGACACACAATAGCAGGCACTGACAGATTCTGTATATAAATATTTACTGAGATGGCCCCTGTCTACTTACAACAGGAGACATGTTGGACATGTGACACACAATAGCAGGCACTGACAGATTCTGTATATAAATATTTACTGAGATGGCCCCTGTCTACTTACAACAGGAGACATGTTGGACATGTGACACACAATAGCAGGCACTGACAGATTCTGTATATAAATATTTACTGAGATGGCCCCTGTCTACTTACAACAGGAGACATGTTGGACATGTGACACACAATAGCAGGCACTGACAGATTCTGTATATAAATATTTACTGAGATGGCCCCTGTCTACTTACAACAGGAGACATGTTGGACATGTGACACACAATAGCAGGCACTGACAGATTCTGTATATAAATATTTACTGAGATGGCCCCTGTCTACTTACAACAGGAGACATAGTGGACATGTGACACACAATAGCAGACACTGACAGATTCTGTATATAAATATTTACTGAGATGGCCCCTGTCTACTTACAACAGGAGACATGTTGAACATGTGACACACAATCGCAGACACTGACAGATTCTGTGTATAAACTTACAACAGGAGACATGTTTGACATGTGACACACAATAGCAGACACTGACAGATTCTGTGTATAAACATTTACTGAGATGGCCCCTGTCTACTTACAACAGGAGACATGTTGGACATGTGACACACAATAGCAGGCACTGAGAGGATGTGTAGTATAAACACGTTCATCAGGTTTTCGGAAAAGTTTGAAGCTATGAGGGGCCTGAAAATATAAACAAGGAGTTCATACATGTATCATCAAAATAATTGTATTTAAATATGTTTAAATAAACAAGATTAGTAGTTTTTATTTCATCTTATTGGGATACTTCAAAAAAGTATCGATTATATTTGCATTCTTGAAATATTTTATGCAGCAAATATCAATTAACCAGTGAAGAAAGACAACTGTACCTTAAAGCCAGGGTGACAACTGCCGACAAGGAGGCATGTTTGAAGGCAGGTTTGGAGGCTGACAGGCCCCTAGTCAGTAATCCCTGTAAATAGATAAAAACATTCAGACAAACTGACTGAGACAGTTAGAGGCCATGCAACACAACTGATCTTTTGGGAAAAAAATAATGAGAGAAAACAAACTGATTGAAAATATTCCTACCTTAACTCATTCACCCCTGAAATTTCATAATGAACTATTCCAACCTTTGGATTGGAAGAGTTTAAATGTGTCTTCTGGGGATGAATGAGTTAACACCTGTTATTTACCTATTTGCTTTGGTTTTTAAAGGATGTTGGCAGTTTCTAAAGGTTATTGTAAGCAGCTCCTTATTTTATATGAATTAACATAAAACACTTACAGCAATGCAGACAAGCAGTATCTCTACAGCTACTTATAACCTTTGTTTAGAAGTCTGACACTTACTGTCTTGGTTCAAAGGTCATCACACTCTCTATGGGAGATAACTCACCTGAAGGATTGGGTACATTCCTTTAGTGTTGAGATTTCCCATCAAAGTGTTACAAAGCTGATTCATCATAGCGACCAGCGGCTCACCTGGAGGTTAATTCAGTAATGTAGAAGACTATGAGCTTTAAATGACGGTCAATGACAAACATCACTACCACTAGAATAACAGTATAATCTTCAAGTCATGATATAGCAACTTACAATAATGTACATACTTCTGTAATTCATTGAAAGTGATAAATATTCTCTCTTTTATTAATAAAAGAGAACTGCTATCTACAGGGTAATTTATACCCACTACTTGACCCCACATACTACCATCCATAACATATTTACAGTCAATAGGCGAAGAAAATAGTCAGAATCTAGATGTATAATCCATGCACAAATGAATCGTCACTAGTTAGGTTTTCAGGACATTTGATGATCTTATACAGAGGATGATGCTGTATATAACTGTTATACCTGTCTTCCCCTTAAGTATTTTCCATGTACTGGTACTGGTGAACGTGATCAACAGTCGTAGGTGTAACATAATGGACTGCATTTCTGTGTGGTTCTCCGGCTGTAACGTAGAAAATACTGTCAAAAACCACGCTTATACTGGTTAAAACAACGTGTAGTTTAGAATGTCTATATTTTTAGTGCAGACATTTTACAATTTTCCTTTATAAAAACAATAAAAATATTACTTAGTAAGAGCAATGACAGGAATGTTTGTATGACATGTTGATACAATTGAGATTTAGTAAACAAAAATCTGACAGCTAATCAGGGTAGATAATTTAGATTGGCCAGATAAATCAAATGGATTCTTTGCTGCTACGATGAAGGGAATAGCAGGATGATACACAATCCTGAAGTGTACACCATGTATTATCTCAATGCCAGCTCAATGTACCAAACCTGTGAGGCAAGTTAACTGAACACAATAACAATATCCCCATCTGTTGATACTGACCCTGAGGGTTCGGACACAATAACAATATCCCCAATCTGTTGATACTGACCCTGAGGGTTCGGAGACAGGAACAACTCTGCCACATGATGTTCTTAGCTTGTAGGATCCATTCCACTACGTAGGGTTTCATCAGGGCCACCGACACATAGCACAACTAAAACAGACATACTGTAGCTATAGCTTATAGGTAGGTAGTGAGGAGAAACAAGTTGACATGATTTATAAATGTCATACATACAAAGTACATGTAGAGCAGGCCTGGCTTAAGAACCTTCTGATGATGTATGGATAGACACTACGCACATGTACATTGTAATGATGGTTAACATCTTTTAACTGTTACAGGTAAATAACAAACAAATCTGCTCATAAATCTTGCTCCACACATTCATGTACACAATGACATGGATGCCTTTCCATTCAGATACAGTTTAGGTATATAGGGTTTAGTACCCTATTAACAGCTAAGGTCATTTAGGTCATTAGACAGATAGTACCCTATTAACAGCTAAGGTCCTTTAGGTCATTAGACAGATAGAACCCTATTAACAGCTAAGGTCATTTAGGTCATTAGACAGATAGTACCCTATTAATAGCTCAGGTCATTTAGGTCATTAGACAGATAGTACCCTATTGACAGCTCAGGTCATTTAGGTCATTAGACAGACATGTTAGAGTCTAGGGTTTATAAGATTACCGGTAAGTACCCTATTGACAGCTAAGGTCATTTAGGTCATTAGACAGATAGTATCCTATTAACAGCTAAGGTAATTTAGGTTATTAGACAGATAGTATCCTATTAACAGCTAAGGTCATTTAGGTCATTAGACAGACATGTTACAGTCTAGCTGTTGTTACCTTTATCTGCTCCGTATCCATGGAGGACAACAGGTACCGACATAAAAATTCAAGCTTCTGTAACAGAAATAACACAGAGCTCACAGCGATAGTATACACCGATAATGGTAGCAAAGGACTCAACATATCTCAATAAGGATATGCAGTGATTTGAAAACATTTTCCGTAGTGAAGCAAATATTTTAAAGTTTTACCAACTGAGTATATTTATCATATAATGCTTGTTTATTTATCACACATTTGTATCAAGCACCTATTTCAACAAAACATGCTTTCATGAACAAAACATTCACAGTTTACTATATCTATTCATCAGTAATCTTACCCTTTTGTCAGGTTCTTGTGAATATACATAGAAAAATTGTCGGATTTTCTTGTACACCTCCAGGGCTATGGAAAAAAACATATATAATATATAAGGCCTTTGAAATCTGATTTTAATAATATATAAGGAGCATTTAATTGGAGGCTAAATTGGGCTTAATTCCTGACTTCACTCACAGCAGAGGATATAGGACATTTTGATGGAATACGATAGTTCATGGTTAAGGTAGCAAGCTTCATCAATTTTAGAATGAGAAAATATATATAAATAGATAATACAGTGAGATATGACCATGTAAATGTAAACTACAATATATAAACTACTAAAACTTCTTGTGATGACAACCATCAGTAGACATTTCAACAACATAAAGCATCAGTACACTTATTGCACCGTACTGTACCTGGTAGTAGTTTGGGTTTATATTCATCTTCAGGATTTTCTGGAATCTGGAGCAGCTCATTGATGCTAGTCCTGCAAAATTTTCAATTTTCATATATGTAGCATAGAATATCACAGTTCCACAGTTGAAAGAAAAGATACAGCTTAAATAATCAAATTCATTTATGGAAAAAATATTAAACTATTTCTAATTAATATGGTTATAAAATTATAGTCATCAAAGAAGATACATTTTATAACACTAAGTGAGATTTGGACAAGCAACGCTCACACAGAAAGGTGTCACTTCATCAATGCCAGATACATGTATACACATATTTCATTATACAGAAAATCAACACAAATTCCTCGGGGAGTCTAACATACCTGGTACATTGGAGTCCACATTATCTAAAACTCATAGCCACCTATGGCTGCAGGTGTTCTAAAGATTTATTGCATCCAAACTTTAGTATAAAGTTTGAAGTATAAATGTTTATAGAAATTGCAAGTGTACACGACCATAAATACATACTGTAATCCCTTTTGAAACCGTCGTCTGGTCAGAAAACCCCTGATATGTGCCTGCAAATATATTTTTTTAATCAAAATTAGTCACATGAAACATTTGAAGCAAAATTAATTTGTTACATTTAAACAATCATCAAATCGACCATTATAATCTCACTGATCAATGTTGTAACTATTTGAGTACAAACTCTGACATCACATGTAAATGGTTCAAGGAGACAACAGAAAAACTGAAAACAAAAGTTTTATTCCTCGTTCATTTCTAGAGCAATGTACAGTAATATGATGCCTACCTGCAGTATTGTGGCATGCTTGTCCCGCTCCTTTCCCTGGGCTCTCTCCGCTCGTGCAGCCTTTGTCTGCTCGAGGAACTGGTTCTTAGAACCTCCTCCTACCTTACTGAACATTTCTGTAAACAAAAGATATTGACATAAGATCTGTTTAGGTCTAGAGGATCATGAAGCTGGAAGTGAAATGTCTGACACTCAAACTTCATATGTCATACGGATATTATGTGTACATGACCTGAACCGCCCTGAAGAAATAGAATAACATTTCATTGGCAGAATTCCTTCAGAGCATGATGCTGGTACATTACATACCATGTTATATTGTTACAAATAAGAGATAACAGATCTATTTGTCTTCAGCTGTACTGGTACTCACAGTCTTAATTTCTTTCCCTGTGATCTACCCTGGTAGTCATTCAATTACAGGTACTAGCCTCGTCTGTCAATACACACATACTATAATTATATTATAGGTGTATTGGCAGACGAGGCTAGTACCTGTGAAACAATAGCTCTTAGTTTTACTCTGCTTGTAAAATAAGAGGAAACTTAAGTTGATGTTAAATATAACATTCGTAAATAAGCCATTACATCTATATATACTATAATATAGGCCTAAATGTGGTTGATACATCAGTAAAATGAAACAAAACACGTAACGGTGAAAATGCGACTTGTGCTGTTGCGGTCGAACAGACTCCAAGCAATTGCTTTTGTTAACATAAGCTGAAAGAGCTATGTACTACACAGTTAATAACATAGCTAAACAGCATCAAAGCTTATCTGATTTTTTTCAACCAATACCACAAGCAGACAAGACCCTATGCTGTAGTCCGAGTGACGTTATAAATCGTTAATTTTAACAGCCAATACAAAATAATGAGATAGTACATATTGATATAGGAATCGCTGTAAATACTTGTTGCAAAGATTATACTTTTTCGTATCAAACATCCTCAGCAAAAGTTCTTTTTAGACATGTAAACACAGCTGAGTTTCATTCCGCTCGAACTACTGTTGTTTTCACGGAAGTAGATTACAGGTGGCGCTCTTTACTTCCGGTTACAAAATGTCACCACGAGGGATTATCTCAAAAGTAAATTTTATTTTCTGGCGCCAAAATATAAGATTGATTTTTTAACGCACCACCTAATAAACTGCAATAAAGTCGTTAGATCGAATGTTTTTGTATGATGAGGTCAAATGGCGGCCAAGTGGCAAATGGAACGATGAAAAACTGTGATAAACAGCATCAGCATAAAAATAGCTTAAAATATTGGGCTTGAGGAAAGCGCGTTATTTAATTAACAAATTATTCGTCTATAGAAGTATTAGGGGTACTTCATGACATAATTACATTTTATAACACGACTTCTAATTAATATAATCGTATCTTACCCAAAAGATCTTCTGTAGGCCTCAGCGCTAACAAAACTCGTTATCTATACCATCACTACTATTTTATGTGTTTGAGTGGTTTTACGTTCGTTTTAGGATATTGAACAGCACGAATGCCACCATGAGAACTTAAAACCACCGTACAATCACTTACACAGGGTCCTGATAATGTGTTACATCTATATCTAACTAATCATAATGTGTTACATCTATATTAAACTAATCTTAATGTGTTACATCTATATTAAACTAATCATGATGTGTTTCATCTATATCTAACTAATCATAATGTGTTACATCTATATCTAACTAATCATAATGTGTTACATCTATATTAAACTAATCTTAATGTGTTACATCTTTATTAAACTAATCATGACGTGTTTCATCTAACTACTCATAATTTGTTACATCTATATCTAACTAATCATAATGTGTTACATCCATATCTAAGTAATCATAATTTGTTACATCCATATCTTACTAATCATAATGTGTTACATCCATATATAACTAATCATCATAATGTGTTACATTGGCATATTTAAGGTGGCATATTTAACAAAACTTGATCTAAACCCTAAAACGTGTAAATATGCTCATTACAAAGAATTAATAACAATGTGTTGATATAGAAATGCACAACATCCATGAAAATGAGAGGGATATTAGGTTCGAGTTAATAAGTACGGTAATATCTTCAATTTTGTATTAACAACAACTTATTAAGTTTTAAGTATTATTAAGTTAAACGTTTTTTTTTAAGTTATTCAACAATATATTAACTATCATATTATATCAGTTTCATTTCACACATTCTCCATTCTCACACATTTTCTTTCTTTGATTAGCCATATTTTACCATTCTTAACATTAATATGACTTATGATGTTACAATTGCAAAATAAACTTTTTTTCAGATACCTCGTAAACTCTATATAATTTGAAATTTCATCGTATTTAATAACATTATATGCATTTTAGATGTGGCACAAAGAAGAAGAAAAAACTAAAATTAAAACAGTTTATGTTTACATGTTGAAGCGAATGTATTGTTTTAGTGGAAGGAAAAAAGACAAAGAAGTAAGAAATAAGAGGGACAGGAACAAGGATGGAAGGAGAGGTGTCTAAGGATTTTACAGGGATTTATTGTCCATTGTACATGGCCTGTTAATAGGGATTACATAGGTACTATATTATTACAATTGTTTACATTTCAGACATTTTTTTCCATTCCTTATCAAAATTATATAGATGATTTTCACCATTACCTGTAGAAATGTATTTTGGATAGTAAAAAAAAGTCATTATCAACAGAGGATTTCGATGACGGAAAGAGCCGAGATTTTATCATCCTCGATATCCAGGGGTTACGCTCACTTTTGCTCTCTGCACCCCTTGCATATGTCATAGCTAATTTGAAGGCTCAATGTGCGCCACCTTGTTCCTGAGACAAGAAGACTAGTTCGATCCTATGATGTATATCAAAAGAATCTCGCGGCCACGTAACGGTAAAAATTGACAGGCTTTGAAGTCGGGCGTCTCTCCTGTAATCTTCAAAGGACAGGTATCAGCCTAGCGATTGGTCCGTTGTTTTTTTTACCTGAGACCATCCAAACAGCTATCTTCATGCCTTTAGTTTTGCTATGACATATTCCAGGGGTGTAGAGAGCAAACGAGAGCGTAACCCCTGGATATCGAGGATGGTGCCAGGGGTGTAGATAGCAAACGAGAGCGTAAACCCTGGATATCGAGGATGGGTCCAGGGGGGTAGAGAGGGAACGAGAGCGTAACCCCTGGTTACCGAGGATGGTTCCAGGGGTGGAGAGAGCAAACGAGAGCGTACCCCTTGGATATCGAGGATGGTGCCAGGGGTGTAGAGAGCAGACGAGAGCGTAACCCCTGGTTACCGAGGATGGTTCCAGGGGTGAAGAGAGCAAACGAGAGCGTAACGCATGGATATCGAGGATGGTGCCAGGGGTGTAGAGAGCAAACGAGAGCGTAACCCCTGGATACCGAGGAAGAGATGTTATGGACATGTATATTCAGTGGTTTCCACACCCTCGATACTCCAGGGGTTACGCTCACTTATGCTGAACTTATCGCCTGGAGTATCGAGCGTGTGGTTACCTCGAAGACAGGTTCTTTAGCAATCAAAATCCAGGAGTGTTTGACAGACTGCAACATTAGTTAAGTGTAGCGTTCTTGTGCAGACGTTCCTGACGAATTAGCACTAACTAGGAATTGTACATGTGGTCAATAAAAAAGATGTATGTCAGAGAGGAAGGCCATCCTTGATTTTCCAGAGGTAACACTTACTTTCGCTCTTTGAACCCCTTGAATATGTCACAGCAAAAGGGAAGGCACACGGCTAGCTATTTGATTGGTCTCAGGTATAAAATCCTGACAGACCAATTGCTAGTCCTTGAAAGATTACAGAGGACTTCAAAGCCAGTCAGTTGTACTGTTTCGCGATCGAGAGGTTCATTTGATGTACATCAAAGGATCAAACTAGCCTTCTTGTCTCACCCAAAAACATCGCACACAATGACCCTTCGATTTCGCTATGACATATTCGAGGGGTGCAGAGAGCAAAAGCGAGCGTGACTCATGGATGATGGGGAAGGTATGCTGGACACTTGGGTGCGCAGTCTAGTTGGAGGAATTTAAGGTTGAGTTCTCTTTTAACGGTCCCAGTAAGAATGAGATGGATAGGTGGTGGATTGTCGACAATGACACAGAAAATCGAATCTACGCCTAGTGTGATCCCAAACTGTCACTTCGCACTTCAGGGGTGGTCTTACATACGCAGTATTGGTCTTGCCATTAGGATTTTCACTGAAAACTTCATTATTGCGACGTATGGATGGTAGCGTCGAGTAACCTTTCTTCGTAAACCTTTAAGTATGCTGGTTTCATGGCAGCGTTTTTGAGATGGCGAGTTCTTAATATTTTGCCTTGTCCAAATGTTCTAAAAGTTGGGTGTTGATATCGCATTGGTGGCGATGTCCTTTACTCGAGGACAGCAGACTGAGCACGTTGCGATAAGACGACCTCAATCCTCTCAGGAATGCTGCCTCTGACGACATAATGATGGAGTTTCAAGGAAAGACACTCACATGGTACCAAGCAAAGATGAAGTTTGTCTTTCCCACTTCACCATTTCTTAACCCTTTCGCAAAATCTAGAATGGCGAAAATAATCAGCATGTCACATGACCATATCTTCCTGAATCCACTCTGACTGTCGGCTATAGTGTGAGAATATGTCCCTTGTTCAAATGTTTGATAGGCTGGTGCCTCCATAAATCCATATGGTGTGATTTATTTAGTGGCATATGTTCTGGACAACATAAAACAATTACTTTGCGTGGTGAAAAGTGCTGTTTGGGCAGTGTTCATCGACACTACAATCAGCGATTTCTTGTCACGTTTTGCAACAAGCGTAAAGGGTCACTCTCTATGTCTGCTCTAGCACGACTCCATCATGCTAATTTACCTGTCCTTGTGATATACTTCAGAGTCGGACTTTACCGGGGATATTTCATTAACGGTCACTGCAGACTGAAGTCATGTTTCATTGCCAAATATACAATTAAGGGGCTTGAATCCAGCCAAAAAGCGTTTCTGTTCGGAGTGAATGTATGGAAGTTAAAACACATTAGCTTCAAATTCCTAGAGCGTTGCTCTGTAGGCATTGTCGTGTTGTTTACTAAGGTGACCAGTGATGGACTCAAAAGAGTCAGTAGGGGCACATTTAATAATAATAATAACTGAAAGCTGTTATAAGTGTCAGTAATTATGGAGCTAAACAGATCGGAAGTGAAGTTGGGTTCACCATACGAGTCACAGTCCACGATGTGTCGGAACCGTTAAGTGGTTTGTACGTACCCCTGGGCATAATTACCCAATGCTATCAATCTGTCTTGTATGCTTCAATCAACAACAAGTTGTGTATTCCCTGGATCAAGGTCAAATATTCACGCGGACAATCATTTCGGACTGACTTTGGCCACAGGCAGATAAACCCACGGTTGGTCACATACAACTGTCCGGTATGTACGATAAAGGTCAAGGTCATAGTAAAGAGTCAAAGGTCAAGCGATTGCACACATTATTCAAGCCACAAGTTCTGGCTACAGAGTGTGTTGCGACAGAGATGTTGAGGTGCTGTATAATGTAGTACGTCAGTATAATTGTCACTGTATAATGCATGGCACTCTGGTCAACGATGATTTGTTTGCACTGAAGTTGTCAGCATGGTAAAAACCAATTATTCTGTCGCACAAAAACATTTTTTTGTATGCAAATTGAATCTCGTGACAAGAACAAAAACAGCACAATCATTTCAAATTGAGTATCTAGATTACTCTATTATCCCAATATTGCCAATAGTTCCTTCATTACACCAACATTTCTCTGGTTTTAATCATATTTATTTCGTCAAAGAACTTATTGCCCTTTATTTAGGCGCCTACAATCGTATATAGAAGGAACCATTTTATACTCATATAGATGTAAAATCAGGCTTATTATCCTAATTCCATATTCAATATTTGGTGCTAATGGCAGGCATACACCACTTACACTATAAATGAAGAGTAATCGAGAACTTCCACTTACTGGTTCGCGAATCACTGAAACCTGATAACAAATGATTAAGTTGATAAAAATGTCCAGGCTATTAGCGATAGTGGGGCATTAGTAAACAATTAGTTTATTTCGCCGGCGGCATGATCAGTTGTTTTTAATCCTGAATTTAACACGTGGTTTTTATCCCGTACCGAGGTGGACGTCTAGGACGTCATGGTGCAGTTCATCTCGTCATGCCTGCGTTTAATTTCCTGTTCTAGAAGAGGGGTCATACAATGGAAACGTAAAGGTCGGATTCTACAGCTATGGTTACCATGGAAACGGAGCGACGAACTCAAACATGGGATGTGAAGGTCCCTGGGGGTTCTGGGCGAGGCACGTGGAGTTAGATCACTAATGAAGGACAGTAGGGTAATACATCATCGGAAGTTACATTATTGGATTAAATGATGTGTCATTGGAGTCGATCGAATTTTTTATTCATGAATATTCATAAACATATTGTGATATCGCATATATAAAGCTCTGACCGGTTTGCTCTGTTAAAAGTTTGTCTGCTGCGGTAAGCGTTAGAGTTTTTGGAGCCCTTCAGTCTACACAGTTCTAGCGCGCGTCAGATTCGCCTAGATTCGTTTTACGTCACGAGTAAGTTAATATTGTTCTAAGGGTTGTGGTCCCGGACCTGTTCTGTACAGTTTGAGAGCACGCGTTCAACTTGATAAACAGTTGTACAGTGGGACAGATCGGCACTTACCGTCCAGACATCATGATGGATTTGTATGTTTTACTTTTGTGTACTTTGCAGCTGTTGAAGGTAAGTTGTTTTGTTTTCAACAAAAAGAATCAACAACATAATGCAGATAATGCTTCAAATTAATTTGAGAAGGATTTGCATTTTTGTTTCCCTTCCTATATACAGCTGTAAACCGGGAAATTTTCGCCCAGTCAAACTTTCGCCAGTCGCCCATGAAATCCATGTTCGCCCAGTGTTAATTTCGCCTATATATTTGATTACCATGTTCATTATGTTGTTAAGTTATGTTCGCTGTAATGATAAAAAGGCAAAAGTGAAAATGTAGCGAAAAATTCCCGGCAACAGTAGTGCTGGCAGTTCACTTGCATTATTAATTAATGAATTATGATGTAAAATATTGTGTAAAAGTGGCTACATTTCGATGTAAAGTAGATAGCAGTTTTGTGTGGTCCCTGGCTCCTTACAGCACTATATATGTTGTTTGTTTTCACAAGATCAAAACCACTATCTTAAACGTAAAAAATAAACAATGTAAAATGTATCTAATCCAGATAAAAGTATTGATTTCTTTGAATGATTATCGTTACTTCTACAACTAAATTTTTTAATTTCTATTAGGAAAACTTGTCAATGAGGTCCAACAGTTCGAGAAAGAGTTTTATGTAAACACGATGTGTAGACTTGTCTAACATATAACACGATGTGTAGACTTGTCTAACATATAACATGATGTGTAGACTTGTCTAACGTATAACATGATGTTAAAACGTACCAGGAACGCGGTAGAGGATCTAGTACAGGAGACATTATGACCCACATATGGTACCGGAAACGTCCATTCCCTTTTCAAAGCACAATGATTCTCCACAGTATTTTGTAGGGTTACAATGTGTCCCCTTGGTGCCTGCTTTTGTAGACCCATATTTACTAACGGTTTTGGTTTTGTTCTTGTGTGTTGACGCTGCATGCTTTTTTTTCTATTTCATTTGTTACTTTAAAGAGTTCCGGGATTTGAGGGGGTCATAGGGCGTCCAAAGTGTGGTAACATGTTCGTGTCTTTGAGTTGACATGTTTTTGATTAAGTTGTACACTACCGGTGATAAAGATGTTACCGTTCGATGTAACAGCTCGGCATAGCAGCGTATGTAAATATAGATGTAGTAAACTATTTGAAAGTTTGAAAGTCTACTTTTCACCCCACCTACCCTTTGATGATTGTATCTGGTGGAATTTCTTGATACTTTTAAATTCTGGCGTTTTGAATTCCTTACAACTACGCAGTTGGTCGCGTTAACCATGGTGACTTCAAACGAATATTGAGGTCACGTTTATCTCTTAATTGGCAAAGATCATCTTAATGGCACCTTTTTATACATGAAAACAGGATTGCGCCCATGATTTGTTTTGGTAATTATATAAGTTTAACGGTCAAATCTTGAAGATTAGTCTTTCCTAGTATGACAGGAATTCGGTCAGGTAGCATTCTTATAATGGTTCATGCATACTTTATTGTATCGTTAGTATTATGTATTGCAATTTATTCAAAGGAAAGCTAAGATATAACAAAAATCCAATTAACTTATTTGCTGTCTCGCGACCTCTTGACAAACAAATCAATAACAGTTCTGAGGTTGTAATGATCTTGGTCCAATCAAGTAAAAGGATCGACATATCTTTTCAGATTTATCAAGCTTCTCTCGTCCTGATTTTAGCCGCGTATGTAATATTAGGTCAGTTACATTAGTCAGACACAAATACGAAATACGTTGATTAAATGAAATACCATGGATATGTCATTGACCATTAGTGTGTATTACAGTGAGATTGCTGTACTAAATCACTGCCTAGTGTTTTACATTACGACTTACACCATGTTATATATTACAGCATGCTGGCGGTGATTCGGACGTTCAAGGTGAGTGACGTATCGACTGTAAATAGCGTAACTCTTCAACAATTACAAATTATAGAACAAAGTGCTACAATGTAAAATATATGAACTAAGATGCTTAGCTGCAATGACTTTCATTAACGTAATATTTGACCAACTAAACGTTACTTTGCCTATTTGTTGTATTGAAGGAATTTCTTATTCTTATACAATTTCGGAAAAAAATGTCCATGTTGGTGAAAGAAAAAATACAATAATTGATAAGTAAGTGTTGTTAAGATTTAATTTGTTGATCTGCCAATACAATTTTGTTCATCTCTCTTGCTTATAAACACAATTTTCTCTGTTTTGTATTGGTGTATATTTCATCCCCGTAGATTGCTGCCTATTTTTTGCCGTATCATGTTTTTGTTATTGTTGTTTGTTGTGTGGATTTACATTGAGAACCCTGAAAAATCACAAAGAGAATAAGGCCAGGTGTTCTGGAATGGTGTCTTCTGTTTCATCATCGACACCTATCATGTAAATCTAGGTCAAATCTTAAGTAATGTCACGTGCCCATAGCGAGAACAGAGGTAGAAACACGGTACAGTATAAGATAGCGAGTCAACTGTGACGCGTTAAGTCCGTAAGAGGGAGAGACTGATATTAAGATTAGCTATCATCTTGTTATTTTTTGACGGAAACGTCAACAATACACGTGTTGTGGAATCAGTTATTGGAGCACGGTGAACAGATCGTCGGATGAGATAATCATTTCCAAATAATTATCATGTGTTCTTTTCGTTGTGAACGTTTGTTTTATTTACAAGCATTACGTTTGCTTTTGATACTTTAACAGCAAGGACTTTTACCTAAAACTTCGGACATGGTTTATGTTTTCTATATTTTTGTTATTGCTGTATCAATTCCGTTTGTTTATCTCCGTCGTTCCTGTTATTGTCTTTCCTTGAAATTTGATATATCCTCAGTTGTCTTCCCGTTAATAACAACTTTAGTTCACGTCCTCAAATGTCGGCAATGTTGTGCCTATTTGGTTCTATTTATCTTTTTGCCTCTGTCCTGGTTATCATTTCTTAATTTGTTATAGTGAAAAATGAGTTCTTCAGTCCTGACCATATGTTATACTAGACGTTCTTATTGATGACTCTTATAAGTAAAACCTATGGATATTACCGACAAAACCGTTTATTATAGGACTTCAGTTGGGTGACCGTATTATCTCCGACATTATGTTTTGGGAACAAACCATGATGTTATTAGATTAGAATAGGAAGGTTTGTTGGACGTGTGTTAGTAATGCCAACATACAATCTAATCATTGAATACATACAGAGGTCTGTACCGCTAGGAAGTACGTAACTAATGGCGGACTCTTGATCCATTAGTATTGGCTAATCTGGGCCACAAAACAGTAATTAGATCTATGGGATCCGGAGAATCAACAAGGGATACGTCAGTTAATGTATCGTGAATGAGATCTTAGCCGAAATATCGCTTGATTGCCGCTTAATATTGATTCCATTTTAAACACTACAGAACAACTATGTTAACAAAGAATGTTATCGTCCAGGATCGAATAACAAACCTTATGTACCACAACTTATATAATGTGAGTTTGGACATTTTTTTGTGTCTCATGTGTTTATACATAAATACAAAATTTTCAAATATGAGATTTACTTTCTACTGCCTTCTGAATTTAAGGACACTATACATATTTTACATTAACTTATCTCGACCTCGATTGTTACACCTGTTTAATAACTATGAGTATTTCGATCTTCGATCGTGAGCTTTTCCTTTTTTGATAGTAACAATCTTGCTTTCCCGTCTTTGGTTTTTACATACTGCAGTTGATTTTTTTTGGGTCTTTTTATCATTGCATATTTTTCCAGGGTCACCGTTGAAATATTAACTTTGGTCATATTTTACTATTGTTTAATCAATTGTAAGTTAAACTAGGACCGCGACTATAAATAGAGGACACTAATCGATATTCCCTTGATGTCTTTCTTACATACTCTGTATTTTTCGAGGTTTTCGATACTCTCATTCACTTGACATACACAATTTACACCCAACTCACTAAAGAAGTTTTTCTTTACCCTTTCTATTGTTTTGTATATTCCTACATTGATCCTGGCATACTTCTGTTGAATATCAAATGTAATTATCTCTAAAAATACAAACGCAATTATCTCTAGAAATACAAATGTAATCATCTCTAAAAATACAAATGTAATTCTCTCTAAAAAAACCATAATAATCTTTAAAATTACAAACGTTATCATCACTAAAAATACAAATGTAATTATCTCTAAAAATACAAATGTAATTATCTCTAAAAAAATGAATGTAATTATCTCTAAAAACACAAACGTTATTATCACTAAAAATATGAATGTAATTATCTCTAAAAATACAAACGTTATTATCACTAAAAATACAAATGTTATTATCACTAAAAATACAAATGTAATCATCTCTAAAAAAAACATAATAATCTTTAAAAATGCAAACGTTATCATCACTAAAAATACAAATGTAATTATCTCTAAAAATACAAATGTAATTATCTCTAAAAAAATGAATGTAATTATCTCTAAAAATACAAACGTTATTATCACTAAAAATATGAATGTATTTATCTCTAAAAATACTAACGTAATTATCTCTACAAAACAAATCTAATTATCTTTAAAATTACAAATGTAATTATCTCTAGAAATACAAATGTAATTATCTCTAAAATAAACATAATAATCTTTAAAGATACAAACGTTATTATCACTAAAAATAGAAATGTAATTATCTCTAGAAATATAAACGTAATTATCTCTAAAAATATGAATGTAATTATCTCTAAAAATACAAACGTTATTAATCTCTAAAAATACAAACGTAATTATCTCTAAAAATACAAATGTAATTATCTCTAAAAATACAAACGTAATTATCACTAAAAATACAAATGTAATTATCTCTAAAAATACAAACGCATTAATCTCTAAAAATACAAACGTAATTATCTCTAAAAATACAAATGTAATTATCTCTAAAAATACAATCGTAATTATCTCTAAAAATACAAATGTAATTATCTCTAAAATTACAAACGTAATTATCTTTAGGAGAACAAATGTAATAATCTCTAAAAATACAAATGTAATTATTTCTAAAAATACGAACGTATTAATCTCTAAAAATACATATGTAATTATCTCTCAAAATACAAATGTAATTATTTCTAAAAATACGAACGTAATTATATCTAAAACAACGAACGTAAATATCTCTAGAAATACAAATGTAATTATCTTTAAAAATACAAATGTAATTATCTCTAAGAATACAATTGAAATTATCTCTAAAAATACAAATGTAATTATCTCTAAAAATACAAATGTAATTATCTCTAAAAATACAAATGAAATACTCTAGAAATACAAATGCAATTATCTCTAAAAAACAAATCTTATTATCTCTAAAACTACAAATGAAATTATCTCTAAAAATACAAATGTAATTATCTCTAAAAATACAAATGTAATTATCTCTAAAAATACAAATGTAATTATCTCTAAAAATACGAACGTAATTATCTAGAAATACAAAGTAAAGAAGCAACTATATAAATTAAGAATTGAAACCAAACAATCATAGTTACTACAACATACGGTCATTTTATCCATTACAGGCTATTCAGTAGTCCTAAAGGTATAAAGAATTAAAAGCTTGGTCTTAAACACTTAATTTTCGTGTAATTATGCGATTTTTATTCTAGCATGTTCTCAAAGATTTTAATGTTGACTCGGTCTACAGTCCTTCATTCATACTCCAATACATACTTTCGGAAAATAATAACTAGTAATATGAAGAAAGGAAGTACCTATTTGAAGATGCAGAAATTCAAACAATGTACACATTTTCTCCACCCTATGGCCGTCTTGTACACTTAGGACTCAACAGTAGTGCTCATGGTAAAAAAAAGAAAAACATAGTATACAGCGAAAAGGGAAACAACCCTTTTCATTGATAAAAATGTACAAATTTGGGCTAAAAGTCTTTCATATCAGCCATATCTGGAAAAAAAATTACGCTACAAGGCGACGGCCAACCACAAGTAGAGTCAACCACCAGAAAAATTGAACTGACATTAAAAACATAACAAGGTAGCATTCCTCTTGTTGTTTCAACAATTTGTAGCATAATCCTCGACACCATTAATATCGATTATGATTTATCTTCTAGTTGATAGATGCCACTTTTCGATATTTTGATAGTGGACAAAAACAACCCCTATAACTATATTCTAACTACTATTTATTTAGCATGTCTTATTTTCAATTGTTTAACCAATTTGTACCGGACTTGGTTTCGCCTCAGTATTTTGGGGGTTCATTGTGTGTTTTGTTTGTTGTGACGTCAGTTCCTGATTACTCTTCGACATTAAGTTCGGATTATATTTAGTGTATTAAAGATGAACAATAGGTGACTGTTTTGATTTGACGTATTTTTGTCCATGATCAAATAAATATATAACAATCGTCATTAAGCAAGTTACCAAAATATTGACATTTAATTATAAAACGTATTTATAATTATAGAAATCAAATTAAATTCTGTGTACAAACTACCTATTTTCCTCTTTTGGTCATCTTGTGTTAATTGTATTCCGCAGCATGCGGCGGGAAAGCGGCGGACATCATGTTCGTCCTTGATACTTCCGGAAGTATCAGTTATGAAGACTTCCGGAAAGAAATCAACTTCACCAGAGGTGTCATTTCCATCTTTGATGTCAGCGCGGAGCGGACGCATGTAGGCGTCATCAGCTTCAGGTTAGTGTCGTGTTCAGTTACAGTTCTTAACATTGGAACGCTGGATACGTGTTGCATAAGAAAAATAAAACAAATTTTGTTAAGTTAATGTCTTTAAATGCGTTTTCTAGAACTTTTAGCTTGCTTGTGTTCACTACTAACTAAATGACGTTGATTTTGATTTAAAGCTATCAGCGTGACGTTTCATTTGTAAACTGTATCTTTTGAAACCACAGTACAAAGGTGATAGAGGAAATGGGTCTTGGTGAGATTAAGAATAAGGACGAGGTTCTAGAGCGTCTCACCTCATCCAACATCCGATACCAGGGTGGAGGTACACATACCGGCGACGCCTTACACAGCCTCTGGACCGACGTCTTTATTCCGGGTGTCATGAGACCGGAAGTGTCCCATATCGCGATCGTTCTCACTGACGGCATGTCGTATGACATGGCAAAAACCAAGGCAGAAGCCATGGAAGTCAAAGGAAGGGGGATAACTGTGTTTGTTATTGGAATCGGCAGCAACGTAAGCACGTCCCATTATGTTGACATATTAAACATTATCTCTCGTTACCCTGGTCACCGATGTGTAATTAAACATTATATCTGGTTACCCTGGTCACCGATCTGTAATTAAACATTATCTCTGGTTACCCTGGTCACCGATCTGTAATTAAACATTATATCTGGTTACCCTGGTCACCGATCTGTAGAGTGCGATCTGTAATGTTTGTAACGTAATTATGAAAACAATGTAAGGCGCTCTTCCATTTTGCTGTATATCTACATATACCTCGGAACATTTTGAGATTAATTTTCATTGTTTTGAATTCAGTATCATGGATGAGGCCTCAATGGTCGAAATTGCCATTAATGCTTAATGCACCAACTAAACAAAGATAATAACACGTGCTTCCTGACTTCGTATCACTATTGACCATCTTCCGAAGTGGCTGTCCATTTTATTGCCGTTTCAGGATCTAGGTTGATGAAAGACATTTTCAACCTTTCTCAGATTCTTAGTGAACCAAGATACTTATTTAATATACCAGGAGGTTTCCTGACGAGTGTCTTATATAGTACTGGGAATTCAGACCATTTTCAAACAATTGTTTATGATTTTTAATTGCCCTTGTTTTTCGTTGGGACCATTATGTATTTTCTAGTGTTTTTGTGTTCTCAATTCTTGGTGTATTGTTTCCGTTAATGGAGTTAAAGTCCTTGTTTAGTTTAGTAAGCTGTAGACTAAGTTGGTTCTATTTTACTGACTTACAGATGAGCGTCGACACTCAGGAACTGACGGACATTGCCAGTGAACCGACTAAGAACTACATGTTCCAGATCGCCAACTTCGATGTTCTGAACTCCATCAAATCGGAGCTTGCTTTCAAAGCATGCAAACGTAAAATTACGTTTGTTTCTCGTTTTATTTCTTATTGTTTACAAGAGATCATTATTTGTAATATATGTTGCTTGATTCGAATTGAATTTAAACACTTACTACCAGTGTTCCTTTAGTATCAGTTCGGTATTATACAAGTTTAAGTTAGTGGAGCAATCGGATTTGATGACACACACATGCTTAGAGTAATCGACGTCAAAGTGTTAAGTGAAGTAATCTCGAAACACAATCACGTTTGAAAGTCATTTGTTGTCAAACTCCGGTCTGTTTTGCACTGCATGAAAGAATGTCGTTGTCAATGTGCGGAACTGATCACTACCTTCATTTCGTATTTTATTGTTCGTTTTTTTTTTATATAGAGCCGCCTGTCACTACCCCGGCCCCTCCAGTGATGAACGATAACGGAGATATAGGTAAGATGTTTATATAGAGCTGCCTGTTACTACCCTCCCTCCAGTGATGAACGATAACGGAAATATAGGAAATATGTTTATATAGAGCTGCCTGTCACTACCCCGGCCCCTACCCTCCCTCCAGTGATAAACGATTATGGAGATATAGGTCAGGTGTTTATATAGAGCCGCCTGTCACTACCCCGGCCCCTACCCTCCGTCCAGTGATGAACGATAACGGATATATAGGTCAGGTGTTTATATAGAGCTGCCTGTCATTACTCCGGCCCCTACCCTCCCTCCAGTGATAAACGATTATGGAGATATAGGTTGTAGCATCTAACGTGCTTCATATGTTTGGATGACTTGCCCATCCCCGGATTGAACCTGATTCGTTCTTGTACATATTAGATCCAGTCAACACATGTGTTCCATTACACTCAACATATTTTATTGACTTCACATTGGAGAGTTCCCATATAAGAGATGGCGAGTATGGACGAGTTATGTCCCTTTACCTGACTGAATATATACAATAGACAGATACCACATTCCGTCTTCTCTTTTTTTTTTCTTAAAGAATTAATCATCTCAAATGAAATATTTATAGAAAATTAACCTTTCTCTTTCTTTAAACTTATCAATTATAATAATATGAAATGTTCTACAGTAATTAATACAATGCCAATTAATCATAAGTACTTCCAAACTGTTCCTGGCATGAACTGTACTAAATTGTGTTCAATGCTCACTACTCAACTGTTCAAGTGTTCAATGTTCAAGTGTTCAAGTGTTCAACGTTCAACTGTTCAATGTTCAACTTTAAACTAAAAATCACACCCAGTGTTTACTGGTAATTAAACAAACTTTTCTGATCAAAACTTGACTAAATAAACATATAAAGCACTTTGTTCGATATACTTTTGTGATCCAAGTCTATGTCATGACAAAATCGCGAAATTTCACTGGTTGTTTAACTTCTCGCGTTGGCCTATGTTGTCGCATAGGAAAAGTTTGTTGGCGCGATTCGCATGTAGGGGTCTGTACCTTTTCCTCCCTCGACTTCGGATCAATCTTATCCTCATCATCTAGACCACAATCAGTATTCTCAATTTCATTGGATATTTCCAAGTTAGGGACTTCAGAATTTGACACAGTTTTGTATGACACATTTTCATTGGTTCTATCACTGTTTCTAGACACAGTAGATTCTGGCCTAATGAACTTTTTCAGATGTGTTACATTTCTGTATTTCTGGACTCCATCTGATTCTACCAAAACACTATTACCATGTTTCCTAAGTACTTGTAATGGTTTTGGATTGAAGTTTGTCGACATTTTGTCTACATGTTTTTGTTTCATCAATACAAGGTCACCTGGGTTCAAAACAGATTCTGTAGCATTTCTCCTTTCATCCGCGTACAGTTTTCCTTTTTCTTTCCGTTCACGGTCGCGATCTCTGATTTCAACATCTCCGGTACTTGTGTAATCCTGAAGATTTGGTAACTTTGTTCGAATTTCGCGTCCAAACAACAGCTGAGCTGGACTCACTCCTGTGGTTGAATGGGGTGTAGACCTGTACATGATCAAATAGGTTTGTAACTCTGTTTTCCAATCCTTCTGTTCCTGTTGTGCAATTTTGAGTCTCTTCAACAGGGATCGATTTTGTCTTTCAATTTCACCATTGGCTTGAGGCCATAGTGGTGTGGTACGTTTATGAATTATACCATATTCTTGTAAAAATTGCTTGAATTCTTCACTGATAAATTGTGGACCGTTGTCTGTACGGATTGAAGTTGGAATCCCATGAGTGGCAAATGTAGTTTTCAGACTTGCGATGACTTTGTCAGTAGTAGTCGACTTCATCACAGTGACCTCGACCCACCTTGAGTAGTAATCAACTAAGGTAAATAAACTGTCACCACTTGGGAGAGGTCCCAAAAAATCCACAGCCAAATCCTGCCAAGGACCTGAGGGTAGCTCGGTCCTAACCATAGGTTCAGGGTTTGATGGTTTAGCCATCAACTGACATCCATAACATGACTGACAATGTTTTTCAATGTGTATGTCCATTTTAGGCCACCATACCTTTGATCGTATTCGTTGTTTCATGGCAACTATGCCCGGGTGTCCTTCATGACCTACGTTCAGTACACTTTCACGCAGCGACTTGGGAATCACAATCCGCGTCCCACGTAACACAAGTTTTCCTATAGCACACAGTTCAGACCTTACAGGTAGATACTCTTTGTAGGGAATCTCTGACCACTTGCCGTTTACAATACAGTTTCTAACAGCTTCTAGTTCCGGGTCATTATCCGAGGCGCGTTCGATTTCGCGTGTTGTCATAGCAACTGGAGTTGAGTACTCTGCAATTTGCTTGATGTAGGTCTCAGTATCATGATGTGATGGTCCATCAGAAGACTTTGAAATCAATCTAGACAAACAATCTGCGATGTTTTGAGATCCAGGTATATACTTGACAGTATAGGTATAGGACTGTAGCCGCAAAATCCAGCGTTCTACACGAGCACAGGGTTTGGATTTCTGTGAGAAAATGAACTGTAGAGGTTTGTGATCTGTAACAAGTTCAAATTCCTGTCCATATAGGTACATATGGAACCTTTCGCATGCCCAGACCAGTCCTAAGGCCTCCTTCTCGGTTTGTGAATATTTCCGCTCAATGTCTGTCAAACTACGGCTCGCGTAACAAATTACACGTGTGTGATTGTCCTGCTCCTGTACTAGCACTCCTCCTAATCCCACAGGTGACGCGTCAGCGATAACCTGCGTCTTGGCTTTTGGGTCAAAATATCCCAAAACACATGCATTTGACAACATCGCCTTAAGTTTCTTAAAAGACTGTTCCTGAGTTGGACCCCAATTAAATGGTGCATCCTTTCGGGTTAACTGTCGTAAGGGTTCAGATACAGTTGCCAGGTTGGGTAAGAATCTGGAGCTAAAATTGACTAGGCCTAGGAAACTTCTTACTTCTCCAGCATTTGAAGGTTGTCTCGCGTTCACGACCGCTTTGACTTTGTCCTCGTCGAGACTGATTCCATGCTCTGAAAGTACATGTCCCATGAATGTAATCTGTGACATATTAAATTGACATTTGTCCAAATTCAATGTCAAGCCCTTCTCACGTAAGGTTTGTAACAGTTTGTCCAAGTTTTTGTTGTGCTCACCCTGTGTTTCTCCGTGAACAACAATGTCGTCAAATATACTGTTGACACCTGGACACTCTCTCAGAACCTGTTGTATGATTTTGTTGTAGAGCTCAGGGGCACAGCTGATCCCGAACATTAGTCGTTTATACCGATACATGCCTAAGTGAGTTTGGAATGTTGTAATACCACGTGACTCTGGGGCTAGCTCAATCTGGTGATACGCCCAGCGAATATCAAGTTTTGAAAAAACCTTGCTCTGATTCAGGTCCTGTAGTATTTCATCTACAGTTGGTATCGGATACCGTTCACGAATTACAGCTTCATTGGCCCTTCGCATGTCAACACAAAGTCTAATATCCCCGTTTGACTTGGGAATAATAACAACTGGACTTACCCATGCACTGGGTTCCTCGACTTTCTCAATAATGTCTAATGACTCCAGCTCGTGTATTTTGCTCTCAAGTCGGTCACGTAAATGGTAGGGTATACGCCGCAATGGTTGAATAACTGGCGTAACTGTGTCGTCCAGTGCTATAGTCATTTGATAGTCTTTCAATTTCCCAATTCCTGTGAAACATTCAGGGTATTTCTTCATAAGTTCAGCCTTACTGATATCATGTTCAACGGAATTAATGTGCCCAGTACCCACATGTAGAACTCCTAATTCTATAGCAGTCATCTTGCCTAGTAGTGGTTGGCCTGTTCCCTCCAAAACATAAAACATCACCCTAGGTACCATCTTGTTTCCAAGTATGACATCAGCCTCAAAACATCCTGCTAAAGGCAGTGGCTTGGTACTTCCATAAGCAAACAATTTCTTGTCAGTATTGTTACTTACACAGTTTATCTTTGACTTTTTCAGACTTTCCCAGAGTTCTCGGTCTATCATATTAACACCTGCACCTGAATCAACAGTAAATGATATTGGCACACCTCCAACTATCACACTAACCTGTTCTCCAACTGGTTCTTTAACAACACTAAAAACGTAGTCAGTTAACTCAACCGAATCCTGATCTTGTACATATTTCACCGTACGTTCCTGTGATCGGCCATTCCCTGGATTACCTCCCTTTGTCTTACAACACTTCTGGAAATGTCCCATTTTATGACATTTATTGCATTTCTTATTCCTGGCTGGACATTCCTTATCTTTTGAATAGTGTCCCTGTCTCCCACACCGGAAGCATGCTTGAGATTTGTTACCTTGACTACTTGTATTGAAACGGTCAGCCCCCTGGTAACCTGGTTTGTGTCCTTTCCTTTTCTCATAAACTGCGTGTACAGTTTCTTCCTGCATTACTGCTGCCTGTCTCTCTGCTGCTTCATGCGCTCTACCCATTTCCAGCATTTTTGTGAGGGTCAATGTTCCTCCCTTTTCCAGAAATTTCTTCCGTAGATGTGTCGACTTACACTTGTCGATAACCTGATCACGGATCTGGTCGTCTTTACCATCTCCGAATTCACATGTCATGGCTTTATCGCGTAACCTCGTTATAAATTGTTCAACTGACTCACTAGACTCCTGTTTGAGTTGCCGAAACTGGTGTCTCTCGAATGAAATGTTTCCTTGTGGCGCGAAGTACTCTCCCAGCTTCTGTACAGCCTTGTCGTAATCTGTATCTTCTCCTGTGTCCGCGAGTGTGTCAAATATTTCCTGCACTCTCATCCCGGCACAATGGAGTAACAACGCCCTTTTCTGTGTAAGATCTGTTATACCCTTGCCCACAACAAACAGTTCGAATGCCCTTTTCCACTTTCTCCATCGTTGAGAAATGGCGGACGAATCTCCGTGGCAATCAAAATTTGGAATACCTCCAATTTCCATGTATGTCGCCATTTTAACCAATTAAATGTATACAGTTTTTATCCTCGTCGCCAATTGAAGCATCTAACGTGCTTCATATGTTTGGATGACTTGCCCATCCCCGGATTGAACCTGATTCGTTCTTGTACATATTAGATCCAGTCAACACATGTGTTCCATTACACTCAACATATTTTATTGACTCCACATTGGAGAGTTCCCATATAAGAGATGGCGAGTATGGACGAGTTATGTCCCTTTACCTGACTGAATATATACAATAGACAGATACCACATAGGTCAGGTGTTTATATAGAGCCGCCTGTCATTATTCCGGCCCCTACCCTCCCTCCAGTGATAAACGATAACGGAGATATAGGTAAGATGTTTATATAGAGCCGCCTGTCACAACCCCAGCCCCTACCCTCCGTCCAGTGGTGGACGGTAATGAAGATATAGGTAAGATACCCAACCATCACCAAACCATAAATACTCATAATTGATGTGTTAACTCTTTAAATCAAAAAATGAAATATTCAAAAAAAGATGACATCAGAAACCAACACAAAAACCGGAGGTGAAACAAGTCGGGTAAGAGTTTCCTGCCATGATTCTGTCATGATGTCTCTTTTCCAGCCCAGGAAAGCATGTCGTTTATTTAAAATCTAAGATATCATTAAATATTGTTACCTGACTCGCTATATAAATGCATATTAATCAATTTCGACTGTTTCCCAGACAATTCACCAAACGAACTATAGCTAATGTATGCTACCGTAAAACTGTTGACTGGTCACCGTAAAACTGTTGACTGGTCACGTGAAACTGTTGACTGGTCACTTGAAACTGTTGACTGGTCACGTGTTAGGTAATCGAACGCACCTATAATTACAAGCACCCCGACGATCACGCGTTTTTTGGTACTGGATTGTTGACGGTCGTCTTTCGGTAGATCTAAACATCACATTCGACATTGACCTTTTTGTTTTTCATTTGTCATTTTGTGATTGCGGTTAACATATCTTCTTAATGATAGTATGTAATATTTATATATGATTTTATTATTTGGTTAAGTTACAAACTGTATGATATACTGGTATATCTTGTTGACAGTGTGTGTTCCTAAGGCCGCCTTGAATCTGGTGTTCGGCTTTGACATCACAGCTATAGGGACGGAGAACGCCAAGTTTATCCTCCAGTTCATCCATACTATGTTTGCCGAGCTTCCGAAGATGTCAAAGCGCATGACTGTCTCCGTAATATCCGGCGGAGAATGTGATGTACAAAATGGTAGAGGCGACGCCTTGATTGACAATGCACACAGCACGGATGAAATAGACCACGGGCTCAAATCGCTCTCCACCAAAGCCTCCAACTCTATCATGAAGAAGATGCGTCTTAAGTTCGATCGACGCGCCAGGAATAAAGTCGGTTTCCTTTTTTTGGACAAAACTCTAAGAAACCTCGAACTTTCACAGGCAGAGAAGGAACAAAAATACGCCGCCTTTAAGAAGATTGATCTCTACGTTATTGGTGTTGGTGACAGAGTGAACAAGACCCAAGCCGAGAGTCTGACAACTGGGGGTCATAACTACTTCCATGTGGATCGTTACGAAAGTATCAATGACGTCAGAGGGAAAGTGTTATGTGCAATATCCTAAAGATTGAGTAACATTATTTAGAGAAGGTGTAAATAATAATGTTTGATAACGTTGGGTTGTGCAGGAAGATGTGACATTCCTACCACACTGCAAGATACTGTATGCTTTCATTTAGGCAGTGGGTGCCTTTACACAGCTGTTTGAAATACGTCAAACGGTTTCATGGGTTAAGACTTAATATTAATGATAGCAAACCTATCTTGATTTTGTAGATCTATGCACCGTTTTGTGATTTTTGTCACTTTGAATAAATTATTCAAACTCGTCTATAATATTTCATATTTTAATACTGCATTATGTTGTATTTGGTTCACGCATGTTACAGACATTTGTCTACACTAGGTAGATTTGGAAGCAAATTTCAATATTACGGAAAGAAAATCCAGCATAAAGACTTGCGCTATTGACCAAGCATTTGTTTATTTGTGCCTCCGCTTTGTTGTTATAGAGTATTTACCAAACGAAGTAGCGTATTAGATTCATCAGATCCTTTGGTGTCTTTAGGTCCTCCAGGGCTCTGTGATTTCTCTTGATCAACACTTTCTTCGTTACTTAAATGGGTTTCCACATTGCCTGCCGGGGTATTTCCGTCCTTAATCTTTATATTAGATTGCTCTACCTTTTTATCATTGTTTAGTTCCTCTTCACCAAAGTTATCATGACCTTGACCTGGTTTTTCTGGTGGAGACATTCCATACTGGTCCAGTTCTTTCTCCAAAGTGTGAACCATACCCCCGATATCTTGTTGGAATGGCCAGATGTCCCCTCCGTCCTCCTTCGTTACAGGTAATCCCTGTAATGAATCAGACAGACTTTTTTCTCCATTATTTCCTCCGACCTTTTGGAATCCGTCCGACGAGGCCAGGTTATCATCTAGAATAAGACCAGTCGTATTTGAGTCATTTGTTTCAGGGTTTTCGATACTATTTGAAAATGTTTCGGATAGTCCATCCTCAGTTCCATCATGATTCGGCATTTTCCTTTCTGTTTCCTGACTTTGATATTGAACGTCTACATTCGATGGGTTTTGTGCTGTATCGTCGGTTAGAGACTGGCTCTGGCTCTGGGCTGATGTCTCGATAGTGGTGGACACTTCTACTTCCGTCATGTTGTTTGCGTGGACGTAACCTGCTTTATCTAGTTCCTCATCACCATCGTTTGACTTGCTGTTTAAGTTATCCACTGGTTCGATTATCTCTTGTTCAAGAACTCCTAACATTTCTTTAACATCGGGTTGGAATGGCCATGCATCTGCTCCCTGAACCCCACTCATTCCTGGTAGACTTTGTTCTTGTGATAAGGCTTCGGCACTCGAGAATGACACACCGGGAAGTTTACTATTCCCTACAGCCTCCTCAGTATAAGTTGACTGATGCTCATCAGCTGTCATTTGAACTGTTGTATCGGCTTGGTTTGCCATCTGATCACCAGTTTTCTGACTGGACGCCTGATCAGGATTTAATTCTTCCGATACACTTTGACTCAGGTGAGCTGGAACAAAGGCCTGATCCTCATCACCGGTCTCCGATACGCTTTGATCCTGGTTTTGTAGACCGGGTCTATGAATAGTACTTTCAATCGATCCCTCCGTAAATGTTCTGTGATCTTCTGCTTCTGTCGTGGATGAAACATCTTCATGGATAGATGGAGAGGAAGTCGACCCCTGGACAAACGACTTATCATTTACGAAAACGTTCTTTGATGTCATACCCACTTTCATATCAACCTGCTAGAAAAGACGAACAGACACATTAGAATAATTTGTAAAATGAAAAATAAAAAACAAATTAAACATAAAAATAAAAACACACGTACTTTCACCTTTCTTTGTTTCCTTCGTTTGGAAAACATGGAATATTTGCACCCCCCCCCCCCCCCCNTCCCCCCCCCCCCCCCCCCCCACACACACACACACACAGACAACCTTGTGTCTTGCTTCACTTCTTTGTCACCACTTACAGCATAGTATATCCTGTGTGCACTATCGTCTACCATTTTTTTTTATTGTTAATTGTATGTAAGCTTTCACTCACCTTGACATCGTTATTGTCCTTTCCCTTAGTTCCATTGACTCCCGCATTCTGAAAAAGTTAGTCTTTTGACTTGATACGTGCTATTATACTTATCTGTTTATATCTAATACAGAAGTTACGCCGTTAGATGGTTCAATAGCAACTCATGATGACAAGAAAAAATCATGGTTAAACAATCTTCAAAAAAAAAGAGGCAAATGCAGTAGGAAAGCCATTTCTTTGTTTCCCTATTAAATCCGTTGTTAACACCACCAGCAGCTGCCCAGTTCAAACCGATTATGTTATGTCTACTTTAGCATTTGAACAAAGTACAGAACATTTTCCTACAGTTCTGAATTTTGCGACACTTTTATGCCTCTTAGAAAAAAAGCCTAATGTTCGCTGTATTGCTCTATACTTCTCTCGCATATTATTTACGTCAATACTACAAAACACACCTGATCTGTGTCGTTCGTTGATGTCTCTCCGCCAGCCGTGTCGAGTCCTGGAACAAAGTCCTTTGTTGCCTCAAATTGAGACTTCACCACGTTGAGTATCGCTTAACGAAAAATAAATCATAACATCACTTTTCCAACACACAAGGATAACATTAAAAAATCGAAACACCAACGCATCAAAACAAAATGGTATCATAGAAAATCTAAGTCCAGATGATGAGATACTATAAAAGGCCAAGGCTACATCAACACAAAAAGAAATAAACTTTGGGCAAAAACATTTGCTCTGAGACGATCAGACATGATTCATATTGTATCATACAGTTTCTGCTATTCTATACGTATATACCTCCCTGACCTTGAAACCATCGATACCACAGACTCTTCTTACCCCTCTCTTTACTTACTTGATAAAAAATGACAGCTTTCTCCTAAGCTATGCGATTTGTTACAGGAGTTTAATTTTTGATCGTGAACTTTCCCTTTCTTAATGATAACGCCCCTACGGTTTTACAGACAAATTTACAACACAGGATTCGAGAGACGCATGTTAATGAAATCTATGGACGGGTTTAGTGATCGCCATCAAGACGTCACTGGGAAATAATCTGTTTCCTTCTAGATGAATGACTATCGTTCTTTTTGATGACGCTCATTTGTGTGCATTTTAGTTTCATTGTCAGTATTCTGATTCTCACTTTGAGAACATGACATTATTGGAATAGAATCACATTTATATAGCGCGTGTCGTCGACGAAGCTGAAGATGTTTATACTTCCGAAACACCTGGTGGTATTCTCCTTCTACTACTTGAAGGCTCTCTTTATAGATATTGTCTTTGTTAATGTTTTAGTTTCATCGATATCATGTTCGCAGAAGAGTTTTGAATACACGTCAAATTATCCTCTAGCTTGGAGCCATAGGAATGTGTTCCTTGCAGTTATTCAATAAAATAAAACAACATTAAGATACGTATATAAGCAAATAGGAAATACAAATAACCAACTACAAGATTAATTTCTAAATGGATAGATAATGCAGCCAATCTTACACGTACCTTTAAAAAGACTTCCGAATGCATTGCCAATGGTATCGTCGTCCTGTTTGGTGGACCACACTGACCCAATAGAGGCATATACTAGTATTACACATAGGGGGAACCACAACCCTTTCCTGGACAGAAACATCTTCTATAGGAAAGTAAATCTGACTACAAATCTACAAGTCCGTCACGGAGAGCTACATCCTATGTCTAAAGGTGGTCTGGCAGCCGTTTCTACGTAGACATCTCTATTGTGTAGTATAGTTAGAATCCTTTTCTTAGCACACTCACTTCACACTAAGGTAAAGGCATGTATGTACGTCACCAAGCTGTCCTTTGATACACAAGCCTAAAATAAGGTGTGATGGTGTGGTATTAAGCCAGAGAATCCCATCTGTCACCTGATGTAATAGGCCCAGTAAAAGTCCCTCATTCCTACTAACGTCTTAGCTCATTTAGTAATTAGCAGTAGCTACGGGTTAATATATAATGGTAAAGAATGATGTCATTACTGATGATGTGTGAAAATTTGACAGCAGGGTTAGGACTTTCGTACCCACATATATACAAAACGCTGATGTTAACATATACTATTTATAGTTTAGTGTATTCTATATGGAAGATACGGTAGAGCATTAGATTAGGGCCACGTAATAGAAACTACATTTCTTGTTTTTGTGTTAATAAGTTCAAGTTTTGAGATAATAACTCAAAATTAAGAAATTACTAATATGATATTTCGACTTAAAACTCGAACTGTGATTTAAATGTATATGAAAGCAACATCATTACTTAAGTACACGTAAAAGTATTTATCATTGATTAAGCTAGTTTAGATATATTTAAATTTTAAAAGTGGATTACATACCGCGATGCCAGAAGTAATGAGTACGTATTTAATCACAATCATTCAAACATTCAGTACGTACAACTCGAACATACTACAATGTACCAATATGTCAATGTAGATAATATTAAACAAACAGATTGTTTGTGGTAAGATCAAGTGACCAATGTAATATCATATTTAATTGTTGTCGGGTTTCTGTTATTACTGCTTTTTTTATGGAGTTGGAGATTTCGTAGCATCAATGCATTTAATTATCCGTTAATCCGTTCTCATTGCATCTAGTTCATCAATGTGACGAAGAATATAGCCAAGTATATGTTGCGAAGCGTTCTTGAATATAATATATTTAGAAATAAACCCATAGACAGAATGCACATAATTTTATCAAGTGATATTAGAAACTACGAATATCTCTAATTTTTCAAACAATGACAATTATGTGTGTAGATAAATAACTGAAATAAGACAGAAGATTGCAGCACTAGATGATTAGATTGAAATCACAACTAGTAAGTGTTCATTTGTGACCTTCCGATGACTTGTACGATACGTACACTCAGTCAACTCAGTAACGCCTACGTATACCAAGGTGTAAACAATCGTAAAAGTTTGTAAAATATAATCGAAGTCGATATACTTTATATAGTTATAAGCGTAAGTATATTTAGTTGTTATTTCATCATTTGTCTGATGATGGTGACAGAGTACTTATAGTACTGGTCACCGATACGTCACACAGAAACACTTACTGGTTGTGACAGGGTACGTATAGTACTGGTCACCGATACGTCACACAGAAACACATACTTGTTGTGACAGGGTACGTATAGTACTGGTCACCGATATGTCACACAGAAACACTTACTGGTTGTGACAGAGTACGTATAGTACTGGTCACCGATACGTCACACAGAATCACTTACTGGTTGGGACAGGGTACGTATAGTACTGGTCACCGATATGCCACACAGAAACACTTACTGGTTGTGACAGGGGACGTATAGTACTGGTCACCGATACGTCACACAGAAACACTTACTGGTTGTGACAGAGTACGTATAGTACTGGTCACCGATACGTCACACAGAATCACTTACTGGTTGGGACAGGGTACGTATAGTACTGGTCACCGATACGTCACACAGAAACATTTACTGGTTGCGACAGGGTACTTATAGTACTGATCACCGATACGTCACACAGAAACACTTACTGGTTGTGACAGGGTACGTATAGTACTGGTCACCGATACGTCACACATAAACACTTACTGGTTGTGACAGGGTACTTATAGTACTGATCACCGATACGTCACACATAAACACTTACTGGCTGTGACAGGGTACGTATAGTACTGGTCACCGATACGTCACACAGAAACACATACTTGTTGTGACAGGGTACGTATAGTACTGGTCACCGATATGTCACACAGAAACACTTACTGGTTGTGACAGAGTACGTATAGTACTGGTCACCGGTACGTCACACAGAAACACTTACCGGTTGTGACAGGGTACGTATAGCACATTTCACCGATACGTCACACAGAAACACTTACTGGTTGTGACAGGGTACGTATAGTACTGGTCACCGAAACTTCACACATAAACACCTACTGGGTGTGATACATAACTTTTAAACTTTTCATAATAACCAACCTGAAGGAAATATTTAGAAATAGAATAACATATCTGGTTCTCATGAAAAATGAAATGTCATCTGACTTAGAATAGCGAAATCCACTCTTATTTATGATATCTAAATACTAGAACTAAACGATGAATTGATAATTAAATCATAACTTGTGTACAAGATGATACAGTCATGTATATATATTATTGAAGTCTCAGAAAAGACGTCAATATATTTATCATTTCATCATATTTCATTGAGTAAACAATAGGATTGAACAGCAGGCTAGGCCTATACAAGTTCTCTCCTAAGGTTGACATCACAAAGACAAAGTGAAACGGTTGATAAGAACATATTTGTCAAATGACATGTCATAAGTAGCATACATCCTCAGTCAATGTATAGTAAACGGTATAGGGGAGATAAATCCATGTATGTTTCATTTATATATAAATACTTAATTGATATTTTGAGCTACACAGTGCTCTTATTAATAAGTCAATCATAATTAATTAGTAATAGACAAGCAATACCCAAATGATATATAAAACAGAGGAATTGCTACAATTTTCTTTTTTTTGGCAAGTCACTATGCTTATACGTATTATTGAAGTCTCAGAAAAGACGTCAATATATCTGTGTAAATAAGGGAATTGAACATCGGACGGGGACACAACTGAAAGAAGATGCGAAGAGGTCAAGAAGCATGGAAAGAACAAAGCAAGGTTTGTATTTGTTAAAAACAAGGGCCAATAAAGTCTGTCACTAATATAGAAACGTGTTTCAGTGCAATTCGTTATGACAAAACCTTCATACCAGCAGGGTACAGGCCAATTGGCATTACATTAAATTTTCTTGGTCATGAAAGGAAGTTAATAGAAGACGTTGTCACATTTTTCATTGGAACAATTTCTTTGAAGTTTAAAAGATGTTTAACCTATGTGAATCTTAAAGTTTGTCGATGCGATGAATAGAGAATATTACATGAGCGTCCATGTCATATTAAATGTTTTATGAGCGTCCATGTCATATTAAATGTTTTATGAGCGTCCATGTCATATTAAATGTTTTATGAGCGTCCATGTCATATTAAATGTTTTATGAGCGTCCATGTCATATTAAATGTTTTATGAGCGTCCATGTCATATTAAATGTTTTATGAGCGTCCATGTCATATTAAATGTTTTATGAGCGTCCATGTCATATTAAATGTTTTATGAGCGTCCATGTCATATTAAATGTTTTATGAGCGTCCATGTCATATTAAATGTTATATGAGCGGCCATGTCATATTAAATGTTTTATGAGCGTCATGTCATATTAAATGTTTTATGAGCGTCCAAGTCATATTAAATGTTTTAAACAAGTTCAATAATTTGTTATGACACGAGCTTTTAGGCGAGTATAGTTTCGATTCATAGAACGAGTTTAATATTTATATCTAAACAACGTTGATAGCTTTTCTGCTTGGGAAGCTATATTCTAAATATAATATTTCACCCCATGGCTTTCTAAAAGTCTTTCAATAAATAATCACATTTGTCAACTGTGAACTTGAATGTAGGTAAAGGTGATTGTTTTCAACAAACATGATGATACATAAAACATTATTCTAGGCATCACGGGTTAATGAGTTGTTTTTGTTACTACATATATGATCCATGCGACCCTGAATATGGTTCAATAGGATTAGTTTGAAAAAAAGGTTATTAGTCTTTTATTTCTGCAAGTTGCTGAACAAATATCTTGACTCTAGAACTTTCAGCTCACTTAAAGATGTCGTTCAAGAGTTAAATATGTTTTGCCCTCGTTATCCTAATGTTATTTCTACAAAATGTAAAGCTCCTCATCCAAGTAATCAACATAACAAACAACACGATACTGAACATTACTCTACAGTTAGACAATAGATCACGAGATCATTACCCTACAGTTAGACAATAGATCACGATAACATTAATCTACAGTTAGACAATAGATCACGAGATCATTACCCTACAGTTAGACAATAGATCACGATAACATTACTCTACAGTTAGACAATAGATCACGAGATCATTACCCTACAGTTAGACAATAGATCACGATAACATTACTCTACAGTTAGACAATAGATCACGAGATCATTACCCTACAGTTAGACAATAGATCACGAGATCATTACTCTACAGTTAGACAATAGATCACGAGATCATTACCCTACAGTTAGACAATAGATCACGAGATCATTACTCTACAGTTAGACAATAGATCACGAGATCATTACCCTACAGTTAGACAATAGATCACGAGATCATTACTCTACAGTTAGACAATAGATCACGAGATCATTACCCTACAGTTAGACAATAGATCACGAGATCATTACTCTACAGTTAGACAATAGATCACGAGATCATTACCCTACAGTTAGACAATAGATCACGAGATCATTACTCTACAGTTAGACAATAGATCACGAGATCATTACCCTACAGTTAGACAATAGATCACGAGATCATTACTCTACAGTTAGACAATAGATCACGAGATCATTACTCTACAGTTAGACAATAGATCACGAGATCATTACTCTACAGTTAGACAATAGATCACGAGATCATTACTCTACAGTTAGACAATAGATCACGAGATCATTACCCTACAGTTAGACAATAGATCACGAGATCATTACCCTACAGTTAGACAATAGATCACGAGATCATAGCGACTGTTTCCTCAGCAGAAACTGACCGTCTGTAGAAATCCACGGCTGCGTTCGTAAACAAAATAAGGAGAGGCCAGCGTTTTTTTGTTGATGAAAAGACCACTCACAATATTTAACCTAAAGTCTTTACATTTGTCATTTTTGTTTTTAGTGATGGGACAATGTTGTACGGAAAATGACTTTGGAAATATGTGTTGCTTTTTTTTTTTTTTTTTTTTATAGAAAAGGGATGTGAATAACTTAAACATCGTGATATTTAAGAACAAATCGCTGTCTATGAGTATCTAATTATCTCATTTCTCCTCATGGATTCGTTTGTTGTTGTTTTCTTTAAAAGAATTTTTACATCCAGCTTCGACAGTTCTGCAAAAGATGGTATAGTTATTAACTTCTGAGAGCTAACGGAGACATATAGACGGTATGAGAGACACACTCGTATAGGGTCGGTCCTCCATACATGTGTGTCGGAGAAAATGTTTCTCTCATTCATAAGAAAGGGTCGTGAGAAAGATTTGTCCTCCCTTTTTCAAATTGGTGACGTGACAATAGGACAACTATTACGTGAAGTAATTAAATCGGGAATATTCGATGCCACGATGCGGCAATTGCGGTTTTTGTGGTTTCCGAGCTATTTCTGATAAAAAAATACCTCTTTCAGACCTAGGGATGTAGGAAAGGGGAGTGCTGCCTTCTTTCTTTGCAAACGCCTATGCAAGCCCCATGTTCAACCCAATTTGAAAATCCCATTGGAGATGTTTCCTATCCTTCGTTCCTACGCATGAGGGAGACTTAAATAACTATACCTCTGTGTTGGATAGTCATCTCTCATAACTGTATGTCACCTACCTGTTTGTAGGGTAGAGTTTTCTACTAAACTTGCTATAAAAGGATAGGTAAAATCTTCATTGAAGACATATCACGGTCTGAATAGTTTTACAGTAGCCAAGGTTTTCCTCCCAAGAGGTATTTTTACGTTAGTGTATTATCATTTTGGCTGACATGAAAAGGATATAACTCTTCTAATTGTTGGAAGCATGGTTTTCATTCATTTATAAGTTTTATTCGTGCAAGGTAATGCTCTATTTAATATGCATAGCTGATCGTGAAAATCCTGAATTTATTAATTTATTTAAATGTCGTGTTTTATGTCATTTTCACTTTTAGAACCAGCGGTGTAATTGTTTTCCATATGATGATACCCCCACTAATTGAGTGTATTGTCCATAGGTAGGCCATAGTCCTACCGTAACTCGTCCATAGGTAGACGATAGTCCTACCGTAACTCGTCCATAGGTAGGTGATAGTCCTACCGTAACTCGTCCATAGGTAGACGATAGTCCTACCGTAACTCGTCCATAGGTAGGCGATAGTCCTACCGTAACCCGTCCATAGGTAGGTGATAGTCCTACCGTAACTCGTCCATAGGTAGACGATAGTCCTACCGTAACTCGTCCATAGGTAGGCGATAGTCCTACCGTAACTCGTTAAAATGTTCATTTCTTAATAAGGTTCATACCACTTAAACACTGCAAGTTGAATAAATTACAAATAAAAAACAACTTTTCGGATCTATTTATAACGTTTTATTGCGATCAAGACACATTAGCACGTTCTATACAGGTACACGTGATATTCCATGTCAAGCTTCGGTCATAGGTCACATACATGGAACATTAGTAAAGGTCGCCAAATTCTCCGATTCAAGGAAACGATATCACACTTTATCTTTAAAACGTCCAAAAACATAACTTAAAGTTCTCATCAAATAGTAAAACTTATAATGCTGTGATAGAAATAGAAAACGCTGCCATGTGATTAGGATGTAGTCTGATAAGAATGTAATCACAACCATACAGGTATAAGCCGTCTGAGAAAAAACTGGCCGTATCATTGCTTGCTTAAATCTACAAAAGTGATTGTGTTTTTGTTTCACAATTATAACTAATACAATTATCCATATGTTGTAAAGCGCCTTAGAGTAATTTTACAAGTTATATAGGGCGCTATATAATTGTTGTATATTATTATTATTAATCTCCTTAGTGGTAATACATGACAACAGCAAAACAAAGCAGTTTGATTAATACCTAGGATCATGTTATTAAACATAGGAATCGTATTGACCAAAATATCAAGGCTATACGGTATCACAGGTCTGTCCGATGATGTAGTGTATTACAGATTTGTATAACATTTTATTATACAGGACCAACACCAAGAGGTAGTAAACTTGTAATTTTAAGTGCTCTCAACACCCACAATCAATACGTATATACTTGTAGCATTTAAATAAAACACGAAAAACTGTGCCATTGATTAATGAGTCTGTAAATGCCTTTTATAGGCGTCTTCTAATGTTCCGCATATCATCTTACATACGTTTTTTACAAGGTCCTTCAATACATTTCTTCTCGCTTACTTAAGAACTTTTTCAATGTCTAAAAAAAATACTTTTTAAAAACGTTTAAAATAATAAAACAATTTTGGTATATCCATTGTTGTTAATTTTATAACTTTGACCGTTTGTGGAAACTCTTAGGCAATTTAGTGATTACAATATACATGTTATCTCGTAGAAGTATTTTTTTTATAGCTCGTTCTCGCCCGAGTCCACCCCCTCCTTGCTGAGATCAGCCCCCGCAACAGATATGCCGCCATCTTGCTGATCGGAAACATAGTGCGCCTCCTGGCTGTTATTGTGGCGTCGCTGTTGCTGTATACAGATAGGAATAGCGTTGGTTAATCTTAATCTTTCAGACAGAAGAATAGACACAGAGACAATTTTCTTTACGTCATGTTAGACAGCAGAGGAATGACTGTTATCTTTAATCAGTTCATCTTATATTAATTGAAGTAGTTGTGAATTTGTATAGATCTGACAATGATTTGAACATTCAGACGATATTGCGAAGAAAACTCAACCATACAATGTATGTCATTTGAAAAATGATGTCATCTTTAATAATGAATGAAAGAAAACATTAATGATTATATTACTTTAATTGGTATCCACGACTACAACAGTTTACCGAGAAATCGGGTGAGAAGTTTGAGTAAAGTGACGAGTTTTGTGAAGGAGAGAGACGGAAACAGATGCCTTACCTCTTTAATGGCGTGGTAGATATTGACGTCCCTGGAGGTGGCTACCATAGTCCCGTTCACATTCTCGATCTGAACAGTAATAAAAACGATAGGTGATCAATAGGTGAAAATATCCTTCATATCATTAAAAATATTTAAAAACTTTTTTCGATGCACTGTTTAGTGATAAATGAACATTTTCCAGCTTAGATATTTTAGGAGCAAATCGCATCTCGTGGTCATTCTGTGATCTTTATGGGTAGTTACTATACATGAACGTTATAAAACGCATTGGAATGGAACAATTTTCAGGTCTAACCAAAAGGTGTTACATGAGGAAGTGAAAAGGGGCTATAATTAGTTACCTACTGACCGTTGTAACAGTTACTGATGAGGACACAATGCTGCTGTAACAATAGTTTATTGTTAGCATCAAACTAACTGCTACTAGAGAAAGTTACGATGGGTTAGGTGTAGATCAAACTTAGGTTTGTTGCAGGGAGTTGCGTAGCGGCAAATTGGAAAGAGTCTTTCGAAACAGAATATAATATTATAATAAAAACGACATTTTGTTATGTTCTACTACCTTGAGACAACATATTTTGTATTTAAGAATGGACATGGGTTCATGGTTAAGAACAAACTAACGAAGGTTTTGTTAAATTGTGACGCCTTTGTGCAAAAGTAATCGTTATAAGAGGCATTGACTTAGGGTCACGGTTTAGGTCATACTGAGGAAGGTTTTGTTACATGTGGTCGTGTTTATACCAAACTTACCGTTATGAGAGGGAGGGACATGAGGTCAAATTTTGGTTCTAATCGAGGAAGGTTTTGTTACATGAGGTCGTGTTTATACCAAACTTACCGTTATGAGAGGAAGGGACAAGGGGTCACGGTTTAGGACACACTGAGGAAGGTTTTGTTACATGAGGTCGTGTTTATACCAAACTTACCGTTATGAGAGGGAGGGACAAGGGGTCACGGTTTAGAACACACTGAGGAAGGTTTTGTTACATGAGGTCGTGTTTATACCAAACTTACTGTTATGAATTGGAGGGACATGGGGTCGAGGTTTAGGTAACACTGAGGAAGGTTTTGTTACACGGGGTCGTGTTTATACAAAACTTACTGTTATGAAGGGGAGGGACATGGGGTCACGGTTTATGTAACACTTAGGAAGGTTTTGTTACATGTGGTCGTGTTTATACTAAACTTACTGTTATGAATTGGAGGGACATGGGGTCGAGGTTTAGGTAACACTGAGGAAGGTTTTGTTACATGGGGTCGTGTTTATACCAAACTTACCGTTATGGGAGGGAGGGACAAGGGGTCACGGTTTAGGACACACTGAGGAAGGTTTTGTTACATGAGGTCGTGTTTATACCACACTTACCGTTATGAGAGGAAGGGACAATGGGTCACGGTTTAGGACACACTGAGGAATGTTTTGTTACACGGGGTCGTGTTTATACAAAACTTACTGTTATGAAGGGGAGGGACATGGGGTCACGGTTTATGTAACACTGAGGCAGGTTTTGTTACATGTGGTCGTGTTTATACCAAACTTACTGTTATGAATTGGAGGGACATGGGGTCAAGGTTTAGGTAACACTGAGGAAGGTTTTGTTACATGTGGTCGTGTTTATACCAAACTTACTGTTATAAAGGGGAGGGACAAGGGGTCACAGTTAAGGTAACACTGAGGAAGGTTTTGTTACACGGGGTCGTGTTTATAACAAACTTACCGTTATGAGAGGGAGGGACAAGGAATCACGGTTTGGGTCACACTGAGGAAGGTTTTGTTACACGGGGTCGTGTTTATACCAAACTTACTGTTATGAAGGGGAGGGACATGGGGTCACGGTTTGGGTCACACTGAGGAAGGTTTTGTTACATGTGGTCGTGTTGATACCAAACTTACCGTTATGAAGGGGAGGGACATGGGGTCACGGTTTAGGACACCCCGAGGAAGGTTTTGTTGCATGAGGTCGGGTTTAAATCAAACTTACCGTTATATAGGGGAGGGACATGGGGTCACGGTTTGGGGCACACTGAGGAAGGTTTTGTTACATGTGGTCGTGTTGATCCCAAACTTACCGTTATGAAGGGGATGGACATGGGGTCACGGTTTGGGTTACACTGAGGAAGGTTTTGTTACATGAGGTCGTGTTTATACCAAACCTACTCTTATAAAGGGGAGGGACAAGGGGTCACGGCTAAGGCAACACTGAGGAAGGTTTTGTTATATGAGGTCGTGTTTAAATCAAACTTTCCGTTATAAAGGGGGGGGACATGGGGTCACGGTTTAGGACACACCGAGGAAGGTTTTGTTGCATGAGGTCGTGTTTAAATCAACCTTACCGTTATAAAGGGGAGGGACACCAAACTTACCGTTATGAAGGGGATGGACATGGGGTCACGGTTTGGGTCCCACTGCGGAAGGATTTGTTACATGTGGTCGTGTTGATCCCAAACTTACCGTTATGAAGGGGATGGACATGGGGTCACGGTTTGGGTCCCACTGCGGAAGGATTTGTTACATGTGGTCGTGTTGATCCCAAACTTACCGTTATGAAGGGGATGGACATGGGGTCACGGTTTGGGTCCCACTGCGGAAGGATTTGTTACATGTGGTCGTGTTGATCCCAAACTTACCGTTATGAAGGGGATGGACATGGGGTCACGGTTTGGGTCCCTCTGAGGAAGGTTTTGTTACATGTGGTCGTGTTGATCCCAAACTTACCGTTATGAAGGGGATGGACATGGGGTCACGGTTTGGGTTACACTGAGGAAGGTTTTGTTACATGAGGTCGTGTTTATACCAAACCTACTAGTATAAAGGGGAGGGACAAGGGGTCACGGCTAAGGCAACACTGAGGAAGGTTTTGTTATATGAGGTCGTGTTTAAATCAAACTTTCCGTTATAAAGGGGGGGGACATGGGGTCACGGTTTAGGACACCCCGAGGAAGGTTTTGTTGCATGAGGTCGGGTTTAAATCAAACTTACCGTTATAAAGGGCAGTGACATGGGGTCCCGGTTAATGTAACACTGAGGAAGGTTTTGTTATATGAGGTCGTGTTTAAATCAAACTTGCCGTTATAAGGGGTAGGGACATGGGGTCACGGTTAAGGTACCTCTGAGGAAGGTTTTGTTACATGTGGTCGTGTTTATACCAAACTTATTGTTATGAAGGGGAGGGACATGGGGGCACGGTTAAGGTAACACGGAGGAAGGTTTTGTTACACGGGGGCGTGTTTATACCAAACTTACCGTTATGAGGGGGAGGGACATGGGGTCACGGTTTAGGACACACCGAGGAAGGTTTTGTTGCATGAGGTCGGGTTTAAATCAAACTTACCGTTATAAAGAGGAGGGACATGGGGTCACGGTTTAGGACACACCGAGGAAGGTTTTGTTGCATGAGGTCGGGTTTAAATCAAACTTACCGTTATAAAGAGGAGGGACATGGGGTCACGGTTTGGGGCACACTGAGGAAGGTTTTGTTACACGGGGTCGTGGTTATACCAAACTTACCGTTATGAAGGGGAGGGGCATGGGGTCACGGTTATGGTAACACTGAGGAAGGTTTTGTTCCACGGGGTCGTTTTTATACCAAACTTACTGTTATGAGAGGGAGGGACATGGGGTCACGGTTTAGGACACCCCGAGGAAGGTTTTGTTGCATGAGGTCGTGTTTAAATCAAACTTGCCGTTATAAAGGGGAGGGACATGAGGTCACGGTTTGGGTAACTCTGAGGAAGGTTTTGCTACACGTGGTCGTGTTTATACCAAACTTACTATTATAAAGGGGAGGGACAAGGGGTCACGGCTAAGGCAACACTGAGGAAGGTTTTGTTATATGAGGTCGTGTTTAAATCAAACTTTCCGTTATAAAGGGGGGGGACATGGGGTCACGGTTTAGGACACACCGAGGAAGGTTTTGTTGCATGAGGTCGTGTTTAAATCAAACTTACCGTTATAAAGGGAGGGACATGGGGTGACGGTTAAGGTATCACTGAGGAAGGTTTTGTTACATGGGGTCGTGTTTATAACAAACTTACTGTTATGAAGGGGAGGGACATGGGGGCACGGTTTGGGTCACACTGAGGAAGTTTTTTTTTACATGAGGTCGTGTTTATACCAAACCTACTCTTATAAAGGGGAGGGACAAGGGGTCACGGCTAAGGCAACACTGAGGAAGGTTTTGTTATATGAGGTCGTGTTTAAATCAAACTTTCCGTTATAAAGGGGGGGGACATGGGGTCACGGTTTAGGACACCCCGAGGAAGGTTTTGTTGCATGAGGTCGTGTTTAAATCAAACTTTCCGTTATAAAGGGGGGGGACATGGGGTCACGGTTTAGGACACCCCGAGGAAGGTTTTGTTGCATGAGGGCGTGTTTAAATCAAACTTACCGTTATAAAGAGGAGGGACATGGGGTCACGGTTAAGTTAACACTGAGGAAGGTTTTGTTATATGAGGTCGTGTTTAAATCAAACTTTCCGTTATAAAGGGGGGGGACATGGGGTCACGGTTTAGGACACACCGAGGAAGGTTTTGTTGCATGAGGTCGTGTTTAAATCAAACTTCCCGTTATAAAGGGGAGGGACATGTGGTCACGGTTAAGGTAACACTGAGGAAAGTTTTGTTATATGGGGTCGTGTTTATTCCAAACTTACCGTTATAAAGGGGAGGGACATGGGGTCACGGTTCGGGTCGGCCTCGAAGTCTGGTACAAGGTCCTCGGTGGACTTGATCTCAACCCGTATCAATCTAAAGATAGCTGAAATATGGTACGCAGCAAATAACAAAAAGAAAAATAGTCAACATGAATACATTTAGGATGGAAAATACTTTGTGTAACATTCGAATAGTTTAGGAAAATTGTTACCGTGTTATTGATTACAAGAAGTTTTGAAAGTAGTTTTGCTCCGTTGAATATCCCGAAAAAAAAAGATTAGTTAATAATTACCCCCGCCATATAAATAGATTTATCTTACAGTTCCAACTTGTTTTAAAGAGAATACGGCAAAAATATTACAGATGAAATGTTCCAGTTGAAGAGTTGTAACAATTAGAATATCACAGTAAACAACTTTATCAGTGAATGAATGGACGCAATACATTCCGTGGAAGCTTTGCACCTACAATATATAATGTAGTAGTGAAAATGGGCGTACAATAAACACCATAGAGAGGGTTTGATCACGTTACCTTTGATGAGATCCGCTAGTGCTTTCCCCACTGTACTCTTCCTTCCCGGATTGGTACTGCTATTTCTGGGCCCTTCATCCTCCTCTGTCCCGTTAGAGGGCGCTGATTTACCATAGGACACTGGCGACAGGACTATTTGTACTATGAATACTTGAATACATATGACAACGATACACTTTTGAAATAACATTTTATGTTTTACTCATGTGACAAACCTCACATAAATGGGAATATGCAGAGAACAGACAGTATTTGTATATGCAGTAATCTTGAAATCGCCCGACATCTTTGGAGATTTCCATCTAAATGTGTATAAAACTGTTGTAACAGCGGTAAAACACACCTGTGTCAGTCATGTGTGCTTTGTCCCAGTGTTATGCTGGTAGTATTACTGCTATATCAGCTGTAGTAATCGTCAATACAGTAATACTACAATAGTGTTCCATTAATGTACATCGACATACTGGTACTAACAAGTGATATGTAGGGAATAGGATCGCTGTTATGATTTATGTCTCACATTTGTATTGAGTTTTCCAATGGAATGGAATGGTTATAGTATTAATATTCGGTATTATAGTAGTACTAAATATTAATAATAATATTATTTATTTCTAATTCTATCGACATAGATGAAGATTTAGATTTAAAATTTGATGGAAAACACTTAAATTTTACAGACCATCATAAGCATCTTGGAGTAGTTTTCAATTCAAGCGCAAAGTGGGGGGATCATATTAATGCCATTTATAGTACAGTTATGAAGAAAATTAAAGTCTTACGAAGATTGAAATATTTGCTAAATAGGAATAGTCTTTATTTATAAATCCTTCATTTTACCAGTTTTAGAATATGCTTGTGCATTATGGGATGGTTGTACTAAATATGAATCAGAAAAGCTGCTCGAATTATATCCGGCCTTCATTCATATACCCGAACAGGTTTAGAAACTCTTTCTAATCGTCGAAAACGTACAAAACTCCAACTTTTATATGAAATGCAAAACAACCTTACTCCAGATTATTTAAACGATCTCCTGCCACCTACTATTGCAGAAAATAACAGGTACACTCTTAGAAATAACAGTGATTATAAAGTTCCTCTATTTGGGCTTTCTCTTACAAATCTTTCCCTTATACCTTCCACTCTTCGTAGCTGGAACTCGATAGACTATCAGTACAATCGTTGCCTTCTATACATTTATTTAAAAACTCTCTTACTTCAAAGGTACAACCATCCCCTTCTATCTACTTCAGTTTTGGAGAACGTAAATATGTAAACTTTATTTATCACACACATTGCATGTTATTTCATACTCAACAGATGGTGCTGATGGAATAGCGAGCAGGTGTCCTAAAGAGATACAAACCCTTTCACCTGTACATACTACATTTGTATTTCCCTTAGATTTTTATCACTTAAATTAGTTATGCTTCTAGCATTATTGACAGGCCAAAGGTGCCAGACTCTCCATTTGTTAAACATTCTCAATATTACTGTGACAGAGTTCCATGTAACAATCGTTATTGGTGACCTTTTAAAACAGTACACACCAGGTCGGCACTTGCCGCCAATAGTGTTGTATGCTTTTCCTACTGACTCATCGCTATGTGTTGTGACAGTGTTAAAAGAGTACCTTGAAAGGACTAAAGTTCAAGGCAAGGAGTTTAATGTACAAACGAAAATATCGTACGGAAACAAGTTGAGTGTGTAACACGAGGGAATGTTATATTTCTAATAATTGTTCATAAATAAACAGTTTCCTTATGTCACATTATATATCAATATTTACTGAACAGAAACAATATACAAGAAACTTTATTTATTGTTTGTCGTATATATATATAACGTGATACGACGGAACGGTTTGAAGTTTGAACAGAAAAACATTCATAACAATCCAAATGTGTGTCCGATAGTTTATTTTAAAGAAAAGCATACAATTTCTTCTTAAAAGGTCGATGTTAAATATGACCAGCCGGTGGTAATTTGATAAAACTGGCTAAATTACAATATATCAATGTATGTCTTATTGCAGTTTTAGTTTAAACATATTTTATTGCAATATAATTACAAAAGGATTGGACACAAGTTATTGCAACTTATAAACGCCCTTTCCATAATGGTTTACAACATATAAATATAATGCAATTTCTTATTGCAGTACCAGCCTAGGCATCAGTGTCAGGGAGTTCTTCATCTTCTTCATCATTATCATTGCCATCATCATCATCATCATCATCATTTCCTTCAGATTCATGCTGAAACAGAAAGTAAATAAATGATTTGAAGTTTAAAGCAGTACCATATTGATAACTTTATAACATGTTATTGCACATTAATGTTGAATTATTTTACCATTTATTCATTAATTTATACATATATAAACTTTATTTATTTTTGAATTATGAAACAAGTTATTTCAACTTATATTAATCACTCTTGTTGGCCCGGATGTAAGAGCGGGGGTCTTATTGTTATTGTGGGAGGATACCTGAGAACCCGGAGAAAACCCACGTGGTCGGGCAGATGACCCCATACATTTTTACGTCCGATCAGGGAATCGAACCCCGGCCACCTTGGTGAAAGGCAAGTGTGTTATCCACTGCACCACCCGACAACCCAATTGATTTTATGATGTTCTACTTTAAGTCATAGAGTCCTTCTTTTTTAATGGTCTCCATTTAACTATTTCCTGTGTTCATATTCGGTCCTATTCTATCGTATTTTAGTTGAATCATGATAAAGTTTGTTATAAGATAAAGTACCTCAACAAAGTGAGTTACAGTTCACCATATAGCTATGTCGTCCTTCTCGTTGTGTTACGGTCCAAAAGATGGAAATCCAAAATGGTATAAACTACTGTTGAAACAGGAGGGGGGTTGGATACAACTCTCTAATTTTATGAAGTTCGAATATCAGAGGAAGGAACACCGGTTTATTCAAAATTAATGATACATTAAGTGTTTAAATACGAACCGTATCAATTCTTAAAATAGATAACTGTGACAACCATGATTACGGCAAAATGGGAAGGGGGGTAACGGTTTTGTTTACACTTTACTATTCTCTTGTGTTTTATGTTTTAACTCATTCTCCTTGAAATTTCATAATTAACTTTACCAACCTTTGAATTGGAAGAGTCTAAATGTGTCTTGAGGGGTAAATGAGTTAATAGTTGTTTTTTTGTATGGCGGTAATTTGGAGAGATATATCTAGGATATATCAAAACCTTTTTGTAAATCGGGCCGTTTGTAAGAACATGTTAATGTACCTTGCCAATGACCTTGGTCTGTTCTATATGAAGTTCTGCGTCTTTTCCACCAACTGATCCGGTAATGATAGTTTTCTTCGTCTTCACGTCATACCCGTCTATTGTCCCCACCTTGAGGTATAACACACAGGGACTTGTTATCATAGTCAAGTTTTTATTTGTGCAGCATAAATATTTCGTATCGAACATCTGTCATGTTTGTCACTTTCAACTTTTAAAGAAATTATATTAATGTAATAGATGCTACACTTTATATTACATATTTGGTATTATTTGTCTATGTTTACTATCTAACTCTGTTATTTGTTCTTTATCTAGTTTCGGTGCGTTATCTATAAAATTGTCTATCCTCTTTTGATTGTGATTTTTTCACTTCCAGTACCTGATCTATCAACCTATCTGTCATTACTATCTTCCTCTATTGTCTGATTTTATTTTCTCCACTTCCGGTTTTTGTTGTTGCTTTATTCACTTCCGGTACCTGATCTATCAACTTATCTTTCTTTACTTTTACCTCTATTGTCTGCTTTAGTGTGCTCCACTTCCGGTTCCTGATCTTTATACTTGTCTATAATTGGTTGTTTTATTCACTTACTATACCTACTCTTTAAAATTGTCTATCGTAACTACTTCTATTGTCTGCTTTTTCCCCTCTAGTTCCGGTTCCTGACTATATATCATTGTCTAGCATTACTATCCTCCTTCATTTCTTTGTCCATTTCCGGTACCTGACCTATATAACTATCCATTATGACTATGTACCTCTATTGTTTCATTTTTATCCTCTTCCGGCACTTTCTCTAAGTACTCATCTATCTCGTTGCTGATGTTTTTCATGGCCTCGGCAAAAGAATTGTCTTCTAAGCCACCAATGAGACCACCCAGGACGTCTGTTAACATATTGATAACACATGAGGAAAATATAAATAAGGATTAAACATAAAAAATGACGATACAATATACAACAAACCAACACACTCAAGACAAATTGTATAGCAGCGTTAATTAAAGTTGATAAAATATACGATATACGATGGCGGCAAAACATGATGATACAATACCACAGAGACACAATACAACGGCGTCAACATACGAGGATACAATACCACAACGTCAACATACTAGGATACAATACCACAGCGTCAACATACGAGGGTACAATACCACAGCGTCAACATACGATGATACAATACCACAGCGTCAATATACGAGGATACAATACCACAACGTCAATATACGAGGAAACAATACCACAAAGTCCACATACGAGGATACAATACCACAGAGTCAACATACGAGGATGCAATACCACAACGTCATTATACGAGGATACAATACCACAGCGTTAACATACGAGGATACAACACCAAAACGTCAACATACGAGGATACATTACCACAACGTCAACATACGAGGATACAATACCACAACGTCAACATACGATGATACAATACCACAGCGTCAACATACGATGATATAATACCACAGCGTCAACATATGAGGATACAATACCACAGCGTCAACATACTAGGGTACAATACCACAGCGTCAACATACGATGATACAATACCACAGCGTCAACATATGAGGATACAATACCACAGCGTCAATATACGAGGATACAATACCACAGAGTCAACATACGAGGATACAATACCACAGAGTCAACATACGTACAATACCACAGAGTCAACATACGAGGGTACAATACCACAACGTCAACATACGAGGGTACAATACCATAGCGTCAACATACGATGATACAATACTACAGAGTCAACATACGATGATACAATACTACAGGGTCAACATACGAGGATACAATATCACAGCGTCAACATAAAAGGGTGCAATACCACAGCGTCAACATACGATACCACAGCGTCAACATACGAGGGGACAATACCACAGCGTCAACATACTAGGATACAATACCGCAGCGTCAACATACGAGGGTACAATACCACAGTGTCAACATACGAGAATACAATACCACAACGTCAATATACGAGGATACAATACCACAGAGTCAACATACGAGGATACAGTACCACAGCGTCAACATACGAGGATACAATACTACAGCGTCAACATACGATGATACAATACTACAGAGTCAACATACGAGGATACAATATCACAGCGTCAACATAAAAGGGTGCAATACCACAGCGTCAACATACTAGGATACAATACCACAGCGTCAACATACGAGGATACAATACCACAGCGTCATTATACGAGGATACAATCCCACAGCGTCAACATACGAGGATACAATACCGCTGAGTCAACATACGAGGATACAATACCACAACGTCAACATACGACGATACAATACCACAGCGTTAACATACGAGGATACAATACCACAGTGTCAACATACGAGGGTACAATACCAGTGTCAACATACGAGGATACAATACCACAGCGTCAACATACGAGGATACAATACCACAATGTCAACATACGAGGATACAATACCACAGCGTCAACATACTAGGATACAATACCACAGAGTCAACATTACAATACTACGGCGTCAACATACTATGATACAATGCCACAGCGTCAACTTTCGAGAATACAATTATAGATTAAACACAACCAAACTTACCTATGTTACTCATAGAATATTGTTTAATGAAGTGAAAAGAAAGTTTTCAGTAACGGATGTTACTTTTCTTTTCTGTTTTTCTGGCTTATGGCATATCAATTTTATTTTATTTCATAATCATCATATTTAGTATCATACGGAGACGTACGTCATGGACTAGTACATGGAAAATCTGGTAACTGTTCAGTTATCTTTTTAGTAAATAGAAAAATACCTAATGTCAATAACTGCAACAGGGAAAGGCTGACAGCTGTTATGTTATTTACATTTTGTAAACAATTCAAAATTACATATCAATTATATTAATAGGGAACACCTGAATACCTGTGGGATTGTATCCTCGTATATTGACACTGTGGTATCGTATCCTCGTATGTTGACTCTGTGGTATCGTATCCTCGTATGTTGACACTGTGGTAATGTATCATCGTATGTTGACGCTGTGGTATTGTATCATCGTATGTTGACGCTGTGGTATTGTATCCTCGTATATTGACGTTGTGGTATTGTATCCTTGTATGTTAACGCTGTGGTGTTGTATCCTCAATAATACAATACCACAGCGTCAACATACGATGATACATTACCTCAGTGTCAACATACGAGGATACGATACCACAGAGTCAACATACGAGGATACGATACCACAGTGTCAATATACGAGGATACAATACCACAGCATCAACATACGAGTATACAATACCACAGCGTCAACATACGATGATACAATACCACAGAGGCAATATACGAGGATACAATACCACAGCATCAACATACGAGGATACAATACCGCAGCGTCAACATACGATGATACAATACCACAGAGGCAATATACGAGGATACAATACCACAGCATCAACATACGAGGATACAATACCACAGCGTCAACATACGATGATACCATACCACAGCGTTAACATACGAGGATACAATACTACAGCGTCAATATACGAGGATACAATACCACAGCGTCAACATACGATGATACAATACCACAGCGTCAACATACTAGGATACAATTCCACAGCGTCAACATACGATGATACAATACCACAGCGTTAACATACGAGAATACAATACTACTGCGTCAATATACGAGGATACAATACCACAGCGTCAACATACGACGATACAATACCACAACGTCAACATACGATGATACAATACCATAGCGTCAATAAACGAGGATACAATACCACAGCGTCAATATACGATGATACAATACCACAGCGTCAATGTACGATGATACAATACCACAGCGTCAACATACGATGATACAATACCACAGCGTTAACATACGAGGATACAATACCACAGCGTCAACATACGAGGATACAATACCACAACGTCAACATACGATGATACAATACCATAGCGTCAATATACGAGGATACAATACCACAGCGTCAACATACGATGATACAATACCATAGCGTCAACATACGAGGATACAATACCACAGCGTTAACATACAAGGATACAATACCACAGCGTCAACATACGAGGTTACAATACCACAGCGTTACCATACGATGATACAATACCACAGCGTCAACATACGAGGATACAATACCACAGCGTTAACATACGAGGGTACAATACCACAGAGTCAACATACGAGGGTACAATACCACAGCGTCAACATACGAGGATACAATACCACAGAGTCAACATAAGAGGATACAATACCACAGCGTCAACATACTTGGATATAATATCACAGCGTTAACATACGATGATAAAATACCACAGCGTCAACATACGAGGATACAATACCACAGCGTCATTATACGAGGATACAATACCACAGCGTCAACATACGAGGTTACAATACCACAGCGTTACCATACGATGATACAATACCACAGCGTCAACATACGATGATACAATACCACAGAATCAACATACGATGATACAATACCACAGGGTTAACATACGATGATACAATACCACAGCGTCATTATACGAAGATACAATACCACAGCGTCAACATACGAGGATACAATACCACAGCGTCAACACACGATGATACAATACCACAGAATCAACATATGATGATACAATACCACAGCGTTAACATACGATGATACAATACCACAGCGTTAACATACGAGGATACAATACCACAGCGTCAACATACGATAATACAATACCACAGCGTTAACATACGAGGCTACAATACCACAGAGTCAACATTTAGCGCGCACCATTCAGTTTGTCTGTGACACATGTGGCAGTTATACCAGTTGGTCTGCCCACATCTATGCAGTTTATTGCTTATATTTATATTTCCATAATGAGAATTCGCAAAAAAATGTATGTCTTTTCCAAATTTCAAATTTCCCGCTTATTACCGTCAGCTCAGGTCAGTATCTAGAACGGCACAAAGATAACAGCTGACGTCATGCGCTATTTCCCATACAAAATTGAAAAGACTCCGCAACTTTCGTTAATAATTCATTTGATTTTTATTTATATATATATCATATTCTCGATTCATAAATAGTAACAAATGACATTTTGTAAGTAACTAATCAAGTGTCGTAAAACATTTTCCGATTTTATTGCGAACTATATCCGCGCACGCACTCAACGGAAGCCCGCAGTAATCAGGTCAGAGTTATATTTACAGTCCGGCATGTTGTTGATGTTGATCGTGCAACCGGAGAAGGTTGAATTGGTGAAAGATCCAGGCGCAAAATTGTTTGTTGATCTCACAGACACTTGAGACAGGCAGCTGGTGTTCGGGATCAAAGCAGAACATACCGATAAGTTCGGTAGTGACACTGTTAAGTCGCTCGGAGGTGCAAAGACCAACTTCAGTTATAGTCTTATAAGATGAGGCTGCTATTGGCAGTACTTTAGTAGTAATATAGAAGGGCTTTGCCACACCAAATGTAAATATACTAGGATACAATACCACAGTGTCAACATTCGAGGATACAATACCACAGCGTCAACATACGATGATACAATACCACAGAGTCAACATACGAGGATACAATACCACAGTGTCAACATTCGAGGATACAATACCACAGCGTCAACATACGATGATACAATACCACTGAGTCAACATATGAGGATACAATACCACAGCGTCAACAAACGAGGATACAATACCACAACGTTAACATACGATGATACAATACCACAGCGTCAATATACGAGGATACAATACCAAAGAGTCAACATACGAGGATACAATACCACAGCGTCAATGTACGAGGATACAATACCACAGAGTCAACATACAGAATACAATACTACTGCGTCAATATACGAGGATACAATACCACAGCGTCATTATACGAGGGTACAATAACACAGAGTCAACATACGAGGATACAATACCACAGCGTCAACATAGGAGGATACAATACCACAGCGTCATTATACGATGATACAATACCACAGCGTCAACATACGAAGATACAATACCACAGCGTTAACATACGAGGGTACAATACCACAGCGTCAACATACGATGATACAATACCACAGCGTCAACATACGAGGATACAATACCACAAACGAAGATGTAATATGAAAAACGTAGACAAATTGATGTACTCAGATATACGTTTTTGTATGGATAAAAACATTGTTAACAAAACCATTTTCGTCAAGAAAGATCAGTGTTGAAAAATGAGCGACGAACTAGAAATTGACTACGTATATGTATCTACCCTTAGTTATATCCATGATACCATTGTCGTCGTCGTCATCGTCAACGCCGTCGTCGCTCTCGTTGTCAATGGTATCGTCATTATCGTTGTCGCTGTCGTTGCCATCAGCACTTCGTCTGACGACGATAGACTTGCCGGTAGTAGTGTGTAGTATTACACAGAGAGCGAGTATAAGGATGACGGCGTTGTGTCCGAGAATCATGTCTTAACGAGAACGTGTAGGTGTATGGGGACAAGACGGGGAGTTAAGGAATATATACAAAGAGGAGGCGATCAATGCCGTCTTTTGTTGATAATTGATAGTATGCAATCTATGTATCATTCACGGGCAACAATCTGTGTGTATGTGTTTCATATTCTGTAAAATATCAGTACCGTAGCTAAATATTTATTCATGTTTCGGAAGAAAATGTATATAAAAAATGTGCTTATCTTTAAAAAGTTTGGATGCATGACATCATTTGATTATTTGATTTGGCTATAATGCTACTTGCTAAAAACGTTTTTAATCTAAAAAAATCCATCCGTAACATGATAATGTGTATACGATGTATTAGGCGCAACACATCAAACGTCTATTTCGTAAGTCTGGCCTTACAGATTGTAATTTAACCGTATGTGATTGTGTCTTTCCATGACAGCTTAAAACGTGTAAACTTTACTTATTTTGAAATTATGAAACAAGTTACTTCAACTTGCAGATATTATTCAGTGTTGTTGGCCCGAGTGTTAGCGGACACTGGGTCTTAATGTGGTAGGTCTAACCCGGAGAACAGTCACACGGTCGGGCATCCCTTGTTACGTCCGCTAGAGGGGTCGAACCCTAGCCGGAGAGATATAGAGAAGGTGAAGAGACGGAGGTAGAAAGTCCGGAGAGATATAGAGAAGGTGAAGAGACGGAGGTAAACAGTCCGGAGAGATATAGAGAAGGTGAATAGACGGAGGTAGAAAGTCCGGAGAGATATAGAGAAGGTGAATAGACGGAGGTAGAAAGTCCGGAGAGATATGGAGAAGGTGAAGAGACGGAGGTAAACAGTTCGGAGAGATATAGAGAAGGTGAATAGACGGAGGTAAACAGTCCGGAGAGATATAGAGAAGGTGAAGAGACGAAGGTGTAAAGTCCGGAGAGATATAGAGAAGGTGAATAGACGGAGGTAATCAGTCCGGAGAGATATAGAGAAGGTGAATAGACGGAGGTAATCAGTCCGGAGAGATATAGAGAAGGTGAAGAGACGAAGGTGGAAAGGCCGGAGAGATATAGAGAAGGTGAAGAGACGGAGGCAGAAAGTCCGGAGAGATATGGAGAAGGCGAAGAGACGGAGGTAAACAGTTCGGAGAGATATAGAGAAGGTGAATAGACGGAGGTAGAAAGTCCGGAGAGATATGGAGAAGGTGAAGAGACGGAGGTAGACAGTACGGAGAGATATAGAGAAGGTGAAGAGAAGGAGGTAAACAGTCCGGAGAGATATAGAGAAGGTGAAGAGACGAAGGGGGAAAGTCCGGAGAGATATAGAGAAGGGGAAGAGACGGAGTTAGACAATCCAGAATGTAGATGGAGATTACTTACTAAAGTGAAATCGAATGTAACAAACATGTCAAAATGTGTCTTGGATTTTGTGGTTGTCAAACGGAATACGTGGCTCTCTGTTCGCTGTCCACTACTCTTTATACCTGTCAGTGTAGGCACGTTGGCCCCCGTGATGATAGAGGGTAGCCTACAGCTGTTGCAGAGACTCTTTATTCAACATAATCAATTGCACCTTTTGTAGATACAAACACGACACATCCGTCGATAACTCGTCTAATCACGTGACTTGTGCTACATTGTACCTGTTCCAAGTGACTAGTGCCACCACGTGACCCGTTATTAATCTTCCCCTATAACTGTGTCCTGCATACGTGGAATAAAATGGTAATTAGCTGAAGTGATTTACACAAAGTTCTGAGTGATATTTATATCTAAGATAACATCTTGTGTTTGGACAGTCTGTTAAGTGGTCATCAACAACAATGTACATGTACTTCGAGATGTGGCAATGATACATAACCTGTCTAGAAGTATAACTAATTAGTTTAGATGTCTGACCTCTGAGAGCATCCCTCATTTCTATTAGTAAATATTGGGATCATACTCTTTCACGTGTATCTTGAAAATTTATACAGTACTGTAGTGTCTTGTTAGTGAAGTTATACCATAGAACAATGCTACAACTATAATACGATAGAAGTTATAGACTTTTATGTTATTTCAAACTAAAATATCAAAACCTGAATAATCGAAAAATCTTTATTGCCAAAAAACGCAGAAAAAATGAAAACAAAATGTGAATATAACACAATGAAAGTTACAATACAAAAAACGGGTAATTTGCGATTTTTCAAATTACTAACTCACCTTTTGTGGACATTTCGTAGTTATCAGGTGACATGTTAAGCTGATGTCATTAGACGTATCAGGTGACCTGTCAAACTTGTGTCCTCAGTTACTAGTCGGGCACACTTGGTACGTTACCCGGCGGCCTATTATACTGGTCCCCCTTGGGACTACCTTGACCTTTAGGTACAGTTCCTCCTCCACTCGACTGAGTCTCTGTAGCTTTGTTTTTCCCGTCCTGTGTGCCCTTTACTTTTCCTGGTTTGTTATCAGGTACCTGTTGATGTGATTCGCCAGCAGCCTCTCCGCCCTCCTTCCCTGGAGGTTTCATTTTACCCGGGGATTTATTTTTGTCATCGACTCCATGAATTCCGGTCGCGGACATACCACTGTAGTTTACTTTGAAGGGACTTTTGTTGTTGTTTCCTACGCCGCTTGATTCGTTCGCACTTGAGTATCCGGCGCCGCCATTCTGTATGGTTATTTCGTCTGGTGGGATGTTGAAGTCAGCGCTTTGAGTCTTGTCGCCCCCTGAGGCGTCCGTGTGTTCTACTTCATGTTCTCCAGTCTATGGGATCTTAACGATGTTTACGAACAATAACCAGAGTTAGTGATGACATACGGTGGACCTTCAATATGTGACATGTTTTGTATTCGCCGTTAAGTTTGGACAATTTCATAAACGTATTTAGATTTCTTGTGACATATATTCTTTTTGCCATGTTGTTTGAACAACGTAAATGCATTCCTGATTTTTAAGTGTTATACTTCTCAGGTATTGTTCCAAAAGGGTCATATCTCGGGGGCCTTTGTAGGTAGGGGACTCCCAATCACTTAGAAACCTGGGATATGGATACTTTCTTTTTCTGTGATGATAATTACTGATTTTTATTAATATATGTGATTATTTCCCTATACTTGTAATATAATATGTTATTGTTATTTTACATGTTTGTCGCAATAATAGCTCTCAAGAGCTAATATTCCTTGCTTACCTGTATGCGACGTTAAATAAAATTTCTTGTATCTTGTGTGTCGACGTTATTGTATATTTCGTCTTCCTGTGTTGACGTTGTGGTGCTTTTTTCCACTGTGTGTTGACGTTATTGTATATTTCGTCCTCGTGTGTTGACGTTGTGGTGCTTTTTTTCCCACTTTGTGTTGATTTTATTGTATATTTCGTCCTCATGTGTTGTTGATGTGGTATATTTTGTCACTGTGTGTTTACCTTATTGTAAAATAGGTCGTCATCGTGTGTTGACGCTGTGGTATATTTTGTCACTGTGTGTTTACCTTATTGTATATTTCGTACTCATGTGTTGTTGATGTGGTATATGTTGTCACTGTGTGTTGACGTTATTGTATATTTCGTCCTCGTGTGTTGACACTGTGGTATATTGTTGTCACTGTGTGTTGACGTTATTGTATATTTCGTACTCATGTGTTGACGCTGTGGTATATCGTTTTCACTGTGTGTTGATGTTATTGTATATTTCGTCCTCATGTGTTGACACTGTAGTGAATTGTTTCACTGTGTTGAGGCTATTGTATATTTCGTCCTCATGTGTTGACACTGTAGTAAATTGTTTCACTGTGTTGACGCTATTGTATATTTCGTTATCGTCTGTTGACGCTGTGGTATATTTTGTCACTGTGTGTTGACGTTATTGTGTATTTCGTCCACGTGTGTTGACGTTGTGGTGTATTGTTTTCACTGTGTGTTGATATTATTGTATATTTCGTCCTCGTGTGTTGACGTTGTGTTATATTTTGTCACTGTGTGTTTACCTTATTGTAAAATAAGTCGTCATCGTGTGTTGACGCTGTGGTACATTTTTCAATGTGTGTTGATATTATTGTATATTTCGTCCTCATGTGTTGACACTGTAGTAAATTGTTTCACTGTGTTGACGCTATTGTATATTTCGTTATCGTGTGTTGACGCTGTCGTATATTTTGTCACTGTGTGTTGACGTTATTGTGTATTTCGTCCTCGTGTGTTGACATTGTGGTGTATTGTTTTCACTGTGTGTTGACGTTATTGTGTATTTCGTCCTCGTGTGTTGACGCTGTGGTATATTTTGTCACTGTGTGTTGATATTATTGTATATTTCGTTCTCGTGTGTTGACACTGTAGTACATTGTTTCACTGTATGTTGATGTTATTGTATATTTCGTCATCATGTGTTGTTGATGAGGTATATATTTTGTCACTGTGTGTTGATGTTATTGTATATATCGTCCTCGGGTGTTGACACTGTAGTACGTTGTTTCACTGTGTGTTGATGTTATTGTATATTTCGTCCTCATGTGTTGTTGATGTGGTATATTCTGTCACTGTGTGTTGATGTTATCGTATATTTCGTCCTCGTTTGTTGACGTTATTGTATATTTCTTCCTCATGTGTTGACGTTGTGGTATGCTTTGTCACTGTGTGTTGATTTTATTGTATATTTCGTCCCCGTGTGTTGCCGCTGTGGTATATTTTGTCACTGTGTGTTGATGTTTTGTATATTTCGTCCTCATGTGTTGACGCTGTGGTATGTTTTGTCACTGTGTGTTGACGTTATTGTATATTTCGTCCTCATGTGTTGTTGATGTGGTATATTTTGTCACTGTGTGTTGACGTTATTGTATATTTCGTACTCGTGTGTTGTTGATGTGGTATATTTTGTCAGTGTGTGTTGATGTTATTGTATATTTCGTCCTCGTGTGTTGACGCTGTGGTATATTTTGTCACGGTGTGTTGACGTTATTGTATATTTCGTCCTCATGTGTTGTTGATGTGGTATATGTTGTCACTGTGTGTTGATGTTATTGTATATTTCGTCCTCGTGTGTTGTTGATGTGGTATATTTTGTCACTGTGTGTTTACGTTATTGTATATTTCGTCCTCATGTGTTGTTGATGAGGTATATATTTTGTCACTGTGTGTTGATGTTATTGTATATATCGTCCTCGTGTGTTGTTGATGTGGTATGTTTTGTCACGGTGTGTTGACGTTATTGTATATTTCGTCCTCGTGTGTTGTTGATGTGGTATATTTAGTCACGGTGTGTTGATGTTATTATATATTTCGTCCTCATGTGTTGTTAATGTGGTATATTTTGTCACTGTGTGTTGACGCTATTGTCCACTGCCTACAGACCTATTAAAGCAATGTCTTGAAGCACTGCTTCCTTTGATTACCGCAATCATGAACCAATCATTTGTTGAGTCAAAGGTTCCATTATGTTTCAAGAAGGCACATGTCAGACCATTGTTAAAAAAGCCTGGAATGGACAAGGAGGAGTTGAAAAAATACCGCCCAGTTTCAAATCTGCCTTTTCTGTTTATGATCTTGGAGAAGGTTGTGTCCCGGCGTTTAGAGGTTCATCTCCATGCAAACAGTCTCCATGACAACATGCAATCGGCCTACCGCATGGGACACTCTAATGAGACGGCCCTCCTACGTGTACATAGTGATATAGCTTCTACATTGGATAACAAGTGCAGAGCGGTGCGTGTCATGCTGGACTTGTCAGCTGAATTTGACGTCATTGACCATGGCATACTTTATTAACGTCTGGAATACTCTTATGGAGTGACTGATACCGCACTATGCTGGATACAGTCATACCTGAGTGAACGACGACAGTGTGTTGCCATCGGATCTGCCACCTCACATGACAAAGTACTAGATTTCGGGGTTCCTCAAGGGTCGGTGTTAGGACCACGAAAATATTGTATGTACTCCAAACCGATTGGAGAGATTTGTCGTCGCCATAGCCTTCGCTATCATTGCTATGCTGATGACACACAAATTTACATGGTCATAAAACCACAGGACAGTTGGAATACAGTCTCAGAAAGTCTGGAAGCTTGTCTGACAGATATCAGTATCTGGATGAACGCCAACATGCTTAAACTTAATCAGGAAAAGACGGAACTAATCGTCTTTTCCCCAAAGTGTCAGCAAACAATGGCTCTCCAGCTCAAGGTTGGTGCCAGAACTATTGAGACTGTTCCAGCTGTTAAAAACCTAGGGGTATACTTTGACAGTTCTCTGAACATGGAGAAACAAGTGAACGCTATTGCCAAATCCTGTTACTACCAGATCAGGAACATCGGCTGTATTCGGCAGTTTCTAACTGCAGATGCATGCAAGATTTTGGTGCATTCACTTGTTACCTCTCGGTTGGATTATGGTAACGCCCTGCTCTGTGGTATATCTGACAAACTAACTAGTCGTCTGCAGAGGGTTCAGAACACTGCAGCACGGCTAGTTACTCGTACTCGAAAGAGAGAGCACATCACACCTGCGCTTTATTCGTTGCACTGGTTACCTGTACGATACAGGTCGCAGTACAAAATTCTGGTATACACATACAAGGCACTGAATGGAACAGCTCCTCAGTACCTACAGGAGCTTGTTACCCTGTATCAGCCGTCAAGATCACTGCGGTCGGAGTCAGAATCTTTGTTGTGTGTCCCAAAATCTCGTACTGTGACCTACGGAAACAGATGCTTTGGGAGGGTTTCGGCTACGTTGTGGAATAGCTTACCATCTGCTATTAGGAATTCAAATACCCTGGCCAAGTTCAACAGGGACATAAAAACTCACCTCTTCACGTCTGCATTTTAGAATCTTTGCAAAGACGTCATGTTAATACCACCCTTTTATTTGTTCAATTATGTGCACATTGCTTGTTAAATATATGAAAGTGATTGCAAGCCTTTGTTGTTTGTTTTCACAATTATAACCATTACCATTATCTATATGTTGTAAAGCGCCTTAGAGTAATTTTACAAATTATATAGGGTGCTATATAAATGTTGTATATTATGATTATTATTATTGTATATATCGTCCTCGTGTGTTGACGTTGTGGTATATTTTGTCACTGTGTGTTGACGTTATTGTGTATTTCGTCCTCATGTGTTTACGCTGTGGTATATTTTGTCACAATGTGTTGATATTATTGTAAATTTCGTCCTCGTGTGTTGACGCTGTGGTATATTTTGTCACTGTGTGTTGACGTTATTGTGTATTTCGTCCTCATGTGTTTACGCTGTGGTATATTTTGTCGCAATGTGTTGATATTATTGTAAATTTCGTCCTCGTGTGTTGACGCTGTGGGATATTTTGTCACTGTGTGTTGATGTTATTGTATATTTGGTCCTCATGTGTTGTTGATGTGGTATGTTTTGTCACAATGTGTTGATATTATTGTATATGTCGTCCTCGTGTGATGACCCTGTGGTATATTTTGTCACTGTGTGTTGACGTTATTGTATATTTCGTCCTCGTGTGTTGACGCTGTGGTATATTTTGTCACTGTGTGTTGATGTTATTGTATATTTCGTCCTCATGTGTTGTTAATGTGGTATGTTTTGTCACAATGTGTTGATATTATTGTATATGTCGTCCTCGTATGATGACCCTGTGGTATATTTTGTCACTGTGTGTTGACATTATTGTATATTTCGTCCTCGTGTGTTGACGCTGTGGTGTATTTTGTCACGGTGTGTTGATGTTTTTTTATATTTCTTCCTCGTGTGTTGACGCTGTGGTATATTTTGTCACGG